CAAAGATTGAGACAGCACGTTCTTGATAACATCGAATAATTTTTCAAAAGTAAAGATTTTTTAAAATTATATTAATTTAATTTTAAATGTAAAGATTTAAAAAAATTATATTGATTTAATTATTTAAAAGTAAATTTTTTAAATTATATATTTAAATTAAATTTAGTATTTTTTTTTTGTTTTTGGGGGTGTGAAATCGAAATCTGCATGATTTATTTTAAAAAATAAATACTTTTATAACTTGGAGAATACCCCATGTTAATTTTACGGCTAGCAAATTTTACATTAAGGTTATAAAAGTCAATTACACTTATTTTGGTCCTTCATCATAATTTTAATCTTTTATTTTATGGTCTTTTATAATAAATTTTAGTAGTATTATCCCTCTCCCTAATTTGTCCCATCTTCTATTTTATTCCGTTGATTTTTGTACTTATAAAAATTGAGTCATAATGCCAATATATATATTCAATAATCTAGTTACTATGAATATATAGTCGCCTTTAAAGATGAAAAAAGGTGAGGAGAAATTATCATAAAATGTTGGCAAAGAAGATTTTGATTTTCGTTTTGCATTTGCTGTTTTATTTTATTTTCTTGTTTTAAATCAAAAGTAAATAAATAATCGAAAGGATCTAATTTGTTGTGGACAAAACAAGTCTGTTATGCGAATATCATAATTAGAAAGAATAAGTTTATTTTTCCGTATTATATTTTTAGTTTTGAAACCAGTAATTATTTTGATAGCATTGAACAAGTGAAGTAATGAATACTGTGAGTTTCAACTGTTATTTTGACAGGAATACCAGGTTCGCCCCATGATTATTTTTGATCAGTCTCCTGAGGTTTATAAATAAGAAGAACCCCTGGCTAATGCAACCTGTGAACTATTATGGTTCGAAGTCTTCTTCAAGAATTGGGATTATTTCTTTCTACACCCTCACTTTATACTGTGATAATTTAGGTGTTACATATCTTGCTGCCAATCCTGTTGCTCATTCTAGAGCTAATTAAGCACATTGCTCAGGATTATCACTTTGTGCAAGAGCAGGTTGCTGCTAAATCTCTTCTAATTGCCCCACACTCTTCCAAGGACCAACTAGCGGACTTAATGACTAGGCCTCTATCTTCTCTCAGATTCAATATACTTCGTTGGAGTGTCAATGTCAAGTCTGTGTGCCATTGGACTTGTGGGCGGATGTTAGAGTATCTGGACCAAAGCCCAAATGCAATTCACCGTCCTCCAATCCAAGCGCAGCTCAAGGAAATATGTCCAAATGGCAGCAAGTCATTCTAGAATTTCTACTCCTGTATACGTGTCACATTTTCATTAACTATCTTTTTATATATAATGACAGGCACTGTAACATTCGAAGCATGGAAAATACAAATATGATTTGAGAATCATTCAGAACCTTTTGGCGCCTTTCTGTCTTTACTTTTAGTTTTTTTTTTTTTTTTCCAATTTTATCGGATGTCCCCGAAGGGACGTCTTTGCTTTTTGTTTTTGTTTCTTGCTTTGACGACGTGCCACCACTACGGCACTCTGCCCGGTAGATAGTTTTTACACGTTATTTTTCATATTTATTTATCCCAGGCATCAGTGACCGACCCAAAAAATTTAATTAGTAGGGGGAAAATTTAAATCAAATATAAATATTAAAATTTCATTAAAACATAATTTGAAATATTTATTAAACTAATATAAAAAGAACATTTATTAAAGTTAATTATTGGAGGACTTGTATATTTTTATAACCAAGATAATAGAAGACTATATTTTTACTTTTTAGATAGTATATACGTTTCATGTTTCTAAAAAATAAATGGGCTCAAACCTGAAAATTTTTTTTATTGGGTGCAAAATGAAATTTTTTAGAGGGGGTCGAAATTTTTTAATGGAGTTATGTGTGATTTGCTTTAAATAAATGGAACCCATAGTTAATACAGTCTTTATTTTGCCACCACCAGGCCACCATCATGAACGCGCATCTGTCATTGCCAGGCATTGTATTAATGGAGACCTTGACTTTCGGACATGCAATTACTGAGCCCAAGGAAAATTATTTACTTCCAAAGGCGTTGTTCGCACGCAGCATCGCTTCATGGTGGATCTACTTTAATTTGTATATATATTTCCTTCTTTTCAAATAAATTGTGGCAACTTTTGACTTTTAATTCTGTTCAGTGTTCATTTCCCCATTATCCGGCATAATATCTTAAATTGGCTTTATTTTTTAAGAAAATATTTTTGAAATTTTATAAGATCATATTTTTGGAAAGGTGACACTTGATCTATCCTAGAGTTAATTACCAAAAAAAAAAGTCAATTAATCATAAGAAAAATGGCAAGAAAATCCCTCCAAATTATATAAATAATAATATAGTCTCTTAAAATATCATAATTTCACTTAAATTTTTATAGAGTTTTTTGTCAATAAATTTTAAATTAAAAAAATCATTTTACCTTTATTGATAAATTATGATTTATTATTCAATTCTTGTAATTTTTTGAATTAAAGTTATGAATGAGGTTTGTTATTTTGCAAACTTATTTTGCAATAATAGAAATTATATTTGATAAATTATGATTTCTTATTCAACTCTTGTAATTTACAGAACAAAAGTTGTTATTCATTAAGTAAAAGTTGTGATTGGGATTTATTTTTCAATAGCAGTAATTACATTTGATAAGTTGTGATTTTTTGTTCAACTCTTGTGATTTACAAAGCAAAAGTTATAATTTTTTAAACAAAAGTTATAATTGGAGCTTGTTGTTTTCAGTAAGGATAAAATGATCTTTTAACTTTAAAATTTATTGACATAAAGGCCATTGAAAACTTCATAAGAATTATAGTATTTTAAAAAAATTAAATTATCATTTATATAATTCAAAAGGATTTTATTATCATTTTTTTTAATCATAAAAGCTACTCCTTTATTTATCACTTTCTCTCTTTCTTGATACATGAGTTGGACTCCTCATCAAATTTTCTTAAATTAATGTGAAGGTAGTATGTGTGCAAGTTAGGGCTGTGCAAAAGTCCTCTGGTCCTGTCTAACGCCGTTTGACCTGAGATGGTCTTATCTTGTCCTGTCCTGTTCATGTAAACACTAGTCCTTTAGGATAAAAAAAATTGAAAAAATCAAATTATTTTTTAGATTGGACTGGACAGGAGATTGGGCATCTAGACCACTTGGTCCAGTCCAGTCTTATTAATTTATATAATATAATTTTTATTAATTTATTTTTGACAAATGCTTTAAGTGTAATTGATATTAAAGAGATAATTGCATGAAGATTTGTTGAGCTTGTTTTTAAATTGTTGTTGTAATATAGTGTTGTTGAAGTTTGTTGAGTGTTATTTTTGTTGAAGTTATAAATTTAAATTATTTGGACTATAACTGAAATATTTTTTTTGTTGAAAATTATTATAGATTTATTATGATTATAAGTGTTTTTTTATCTTAATTGAGTTTATTAAGTTGAAATAGATTATTGCCTTTCATAGAAAAAAAAGCAAAGTGAATACAAACTAACAGGACCAGTCTCTCAATTTTATAGACCAAATCCGGTTCCGTTAAATTTCAAGTTATCATTGGACAAGATCGAATTACAGGTTGCCTAACCCAATCTTTTTCATAAAAGAGATTGGGTTTCGGGTCAGGTCCAAATTCAGTGCTATCTTATCCTTTGTGCAGCTCTAATGCAAGCTATAATTTTGGCTTTTGTGATAAGTTTTTTAAAAGTAAAATTGCTTATCTAAAAGCGATATATTAGTTTCTTTTAATATATATGGCTTAGTAATGGAATGGGAAAATGGGGAAAAATATAGCATGCTACCTGGTTTGGTATAGAAGAATGAATTAAAATAGGAAATCCATGATGGACGTCCATATTCAAATATAATTTCCAATCAGCATGAGAAATGGATTTAAATCCTCTAAATATGATCATGAATTTGTGGGGATTTCTTTCAGTATTTCCTCTTACTTTATTATTTTTCATAAAACATAAAATCTTCTCTCTCTTTCTTAAAAAGGCAATCTTCAAATAAATTTAAGAATATCAATTTTAGAAAATTTAAATTTTGTGAAAGCTAGTTTTATGGTCAATATAATATTTTGAAAACTAATATAAGATACAGGTTTGTTTCGCGCATGATCTCAATGAAATAATAATATATTTCATCTTGGTATTGGTTCGATGGTTAAAAAAAAAAAAACAGAGAGATATTTTTTTGAGGTTCTAGTGTTGTGTGTGTTCTTCCCCCCCCCCCCCCCCAAAAAAAAAAAAACATTCTAGCGTGTGTTTCATGTGATGGTGGATCTACTTTTTATATTTTCGTGATTTCTTCTTTTCTTTTAAAATGCTAGTGGTAACTTTTTATTTTGTCCACTCAGTCATCTATCATAAATTCATTTTTCTTTAGTCTTATTTTAAAATGTTTTTGAAAATTTTGAATGATCATGTTTTTATAAAGGTCGCAGTTGATTGTATATGAAAAAAGATTACTGATTTCCGGCCCAACAAAAATAGGATTGTTAGGTAATTAATCACATTATAAGTGCATCAACCCATCGCTTTATCTTTCTTTAGACATCGGACCAGATAAATGGGATTTCACATAATTTTCTTAAATTAGTGTGTGTGTGTGTGAAGGAAGTTTCTTAATGTGCGTACACGCTAACTTCAATCACTTTTGTGATAATTTTTTATCTGAATAAGATTTAAAATATCAACTATATATTATTTTGATTGGAATACTATGCTTTGTCCTGAAATTTAATCAGTGTCTCCAAAGGTTTATGAATAAGAACACCTTGGGCTGGTTGGGTCATCTCTCTAGCTTACAATTGTTTGAGTTAGATCTTGCAAGCGTAGCAATGAGTTTGATTAATCTAAATTTTCTGTAGAAAGCAATAATAATAGTGATGCTACATTTGAGAATTAGAGAGCTGCATCAAGGAGGAGAGACAAGCTCTTCACAACATCAAGCATGCCTTCCTCGTATGACCATGGGCATTTGTCTTCATGGGGCTCTTCTCTAGATTGTTGCCATTGGAGTAGTGTCCTTTGTCATCCTCAAATTGGCCACATTGAGGCGCTTGATCTTCCCGTTAATCAAGAAGGTTTGCAGCCTTTGCAAGGTGAGATTAGCCCATCATTGATGGATCTACCATACTTAAATTATTTGAATCTTAGTTATAATGATTTCAACAGAAGTGAAATTCCCAAATTTCTTGGTTCTCTCACCAAATTAAGATACCTTGATCTCTCTTATTCTTCTTTCGACGGAGAAATACCAAACTTGGCAAGCTTTGAAACTTGTGGGTTCCAGATCTTTCCGGCAACAATTTAGATGGTAGCATTCATTTTCAACTTGGGAACCTTCCAAGTTTCCAAGAGCTCAATCTACGTCAGAATAATTTAGTTGGCAATATTTAGATTGGCTATAATGATGATTTGAAAATTGATGACAACAGTCTAGGTGGTTTTGACTAGCTTTCCAATCTTCAGTCTTTAACTTCACCCAATTTAAACTATGTTTCCAATATTAATTACTCTAACAACTTGTTGCCAATTATTGGGAAGCTTCCAACCCTAAAAGAGCTACGGCATCCAACTGTCACTTGACCAATATTAATATTCTATCAACTCCTCCATCCCATTTGAATTTTTCTACATCTCTTGTAACTCTTGCTCTCAGTTACAACAACCTCACATCATCAATATTCCCTTGGCTTTTCAATCTAAGCTCCAATCTTGTAACGCTTTACTTTTACAGCAATTACTTAGGTGATTCCCTTCCAGATGATTCTGGGAAAAATAGGAATTCTTCAGTGCATCTCGACTTTTCATATAATGACTTAAATGGAACAATCAATGATATCCATTTCGATTATCTCACCAAGTTACAATCATTAAAACTATCTTAAATTCAGCAACAATTGGATTGCTCCTTTTCAATTGCAAAACTTATGGTTATTCCATTGTAAGTTGAGTCCTAGATTCCCCAAATGGCTTCGCAGTCAAAAGAATTTACAATATTTAGATTTTTCTCATGCTGAAATTAATGATTCCATGCCAAAGTGGTTTTGGAGACTTGTTAAGGGAGCTAATTCTCTCCAAATAGAATCTAGCAATCTCAGAGGTGCAATTCCAAACTTGACACTTGAATTCGTTGTTCCAAGAATATCATTGGCTTCTAATCAAATTGAAGGTTCATTTCCACTATTCCTATTAAATGGAGGATCTCTAGATATTTCCTTCCATGTGGTTAGGGAATAAGTGCAATTGTTGAAAAATTGGTAGCCTTGAATCTCTCAAGTAATAACTTATCAGCAAAACTTCCTGACTGTTGAGATCATTTCAAATCATTAAGGATTCTTGATTTTTCCAATAATCAACTCTCAGGAAAAATTCCTAATTCTATGGGGTCATTAAGTCAACTTAAGCTATTGATTTTGCGAAATAATTGCTTGGGTGGTGGGCTTTCCTCCTTGAAAAATGTCACTGAATTGGAAATGTTATATTTGGATGAAAGTAACTTGTCAAGACCAATACCAACTTCATGGACAAGAGACAATTCAGACAAGCTTGAAACTTTGAGCTTATAGATGAATAAATTAGATGGAAAGATACTTTTCCATCTATGTTATTTACCAAGTATTAGAGTCCTGGATCTCTCTTTTAATAAGTTTACAGGATTTATACCTAGTTGCATTGACAAGCTGGTTGCAATGACTTAAAAATATGTTGAAATGATTTCATGATTTGAATCAAATTGTACAAGAATGGAGAATACATAGTAGGTAGAATTTTTGATCGGTACTTGCCTATGGTGTGGAAAGGAAAAGAATTGGTGTATAATGATAGACATGGTCTCGTAAGCATTAATCTCTCACAATCAACTAGTGGGAGAAATGCCAATAGAAATTGAGAAATTGATTGAATTGAGATTCTTGAATCTATCAATAAATAAGTCGAGTGGAAAAGTCGTTTCAAAGATTGGACAGTTAAAATCATTAGAAGCTCTGGATCTATCAAGAAATCATTTTCATGGAGAAATTCCTTCAAGTCTCGCTGAAATATCTTTGCTGAACAAATTGTATTTATCAAATAACAACTTGTCAGGAAAAATTCCAATAGGAATTCAATTGCAATCTTTTGATGCCTCTAGCTACAACGAAAAACCCTTATCTTTGTGGGAGGCCACTGGACAAGCTTTGTTCTTTTGAAGATCATCCATTAGGGAATGGGACACAAGCTAATCAAGTTGTTGATGAAGATGATTCTTTCACAAAAGGATTCTATGAAAGCTCGGGCGTCGGATTTGCTGTTGGATTTTGGATTGTCTTTGGATCATTGTTAGTTATTCGTTCATGGAGACATGCCTACTTCAATTTCTTAAACAAGCTAGCAGACTCTATCTATGTGACAACAGTGATTCATGTGGAAAATGGTGCGGGTGGCTTCGTTGCAACTAATAAAGGGTAATAATATCTTTGTACCTTGCTATCATGTCATTGTTATTTTTTATCAGAAGAGTTAATTTTGGTTTTTATTTCTCAATTATTTATTGACTATACTATTTAAATTCATTTACAGCTGACCCGAATACTATTGGCTAGTTGGTTGCCTTCATTAGTTGGAGCTTCTGATGAAGAGTGAACTTGGGTTTATCTGCAGAAGCTGAGGAATTCTTGTTTATTACTATTGATCCATGTATATTAGTGGATGTAATGTGTAACATGAGAGTTTATCTTAAATTGTCGCCTTAATCAAAATAATCAAACAGAACTGTGGTTATGGTGATGCCGTTTTGCTAGTTTCTTTAGCTTTAAGATTATGAATTACGTGTTGGTGTGAATTGTAATTTGATTGTGATCTCCATTGATATGAAACAGTTCATACATGTTATGAAGTTGTGTTTTATATTATATTTGAATATTGGAAGATTTCTCATCGTAATCCTAGCTTCAAATAGATGATTAATTCGCACGATATATCATCATGCCAATAAAGAAGAAATTGGAGTAACCCCTGCAAAGTACAGGGGTTTGAAATTTTTTTTAATGACTAAAGAAAATCGATGAAGGGGAAAAAAAAGAATGAACAAGAAGTTGCAAGGTTTGATTTGTTAGTTAATTAACAGTGACCAGGTTTATATATATTTGATATATTAGATTATAGAATATTTCTTCCCCTGCTGCTGCTCTGCTTAATTTCTCTTCGGCTGCTCCCTGTTTTTGGCAGATTCCTTTAACCCCACGGTATTCTTCCTTTAGTGTTCAGTTTTTGGTTATAAGTTTAGCTTACAGAAACATACAAACTAGCTGCATTCTTTGACATGATAGATATTACTTGTCAATGTGATTATATATACTTAACAGAACAAAGTTATCTCGCTAATTTATTTGTAAGTAGCATGAATTATTGAGATTATATAAAGGAAGAAATTAAAATGGAACCAACTCATTGTGTTAAAGAAGAAAAAACGACCATAAAAGCAAGAGGAATCAAACCAATGCAATGAGAGGTCAACCTTGAACGGTTCATTGAAACAAGGTAACTTGTTTTCTATTGGATACAATATTCCCAATTTTTAGGAGTTAGATTAGGGTCGGGATCTTTTGTTAAACCCAAACCCAAGTTCTTAAGGATTCAGTTTCTAACGAACCAAGCTTATAAATAAAGGCCTCCTTAACTTCTAAACAATCAGAATTAAACACACGTTCGAGGACAAAGCCGGGCATGCATATTTGTTTATAAGCAAAAAATTTCTTTTAAAAAAGATGGTTTCCATAAATACAAAAAGAATTAACGAAAGAAATTTAGGAAAAAGTGGTTACCACAAAAATTAATAAAGATACAGTAAAAAGTGGCTACTAGTTGCCACAGACATACAAACTCACATGCCCTAGCCAAAAAAAAAAAAAAAAAGAGAGAGAGAGGAAATTAATCATGTAAAAAGTAGGAGCTTTTTTTTTTTTTTTTGGTGGACCAAATACATGTAAAACTAGTTAAGATTAACGGTATTTACTTTTTCCTTTTCTTTTCTTGCTAAAATATACATATCTACTGTCAGATTTAATTGCTTATTGTTGACCAGAATATTGTTGGTTGATATCGTCAATTCGAGCTTCTTATCGAGTGTACGATCGAGCCTGGGCTTTCGAATTCTTGTTTATCAGTTTCCGCTGTAAGTGCCATATAAATATAAGAGTGAATGCAATGTGTGATGATACTTTAGATAAATTGTCGTCATTGTCCAAATAGGCGACCGTGTGTGGAGACGGCATTATATGTCTATTGCTATTTTTTTGGACTTTAGAATGTGTGATGATCTCATAACCCAAGACAGTGCGTGCATGAGCGCTTGTATTTTATTCATATTTCAATATTCTCTGTCTTTAGAAATAGAATTTTAATTTTTAAAAATATATAGTAGGAAGACAAAGGGATCAAAGTCAAGAGAAGAGGAAGCAGATATTAGAAATTTCAATTTCTAGGAATCCATGGTTCATTATGAAGAAATATTCGAGGGGATCGGGACTCGTTTCAGATGCACATCTAACTTGTGTAATATTTGAGTATAATAAAGAAGCAAATGCGAGGAGGGTCTTTTTCTTCATATCAACCATAACATTAACATAATTCCATCCCCATTGACCATTCAATCTAGCAGACACACCAAAGTGGCCACCAAACTTCACAACCCCAAGACAAGAAAAGCAATCAAGAAGCAACAAACACACTACTACAACACAAACCAAGACAATCACACCCTCTGTGAACCAAGTACAACTTATCATTAGCTCATTATAGAAAGTGCCTTTTATCCAGTCAAGCACCAGTTATCACTTTCTCCAAGGCCAAGATATATTCATAAACCTTCTTCTCATCAGGAAGTGTCTTGGACACGCTCTCTTTGGTCTCAATGCACCTCTTGACCCAAGCCATGAGTGTAGGGCACTCTGCTTCCATCTTGAAGTGCCCATAAGTCTCAAAGGTGTAAAACCAGCAACAAAATGGAATCAAACCAACATCAAGAAACCCAAATTGTCACCCCCATAAAAGGGCTTGTCTCCGAGTGTCCCCTCTAGAAGCTTAAATATGTCTAGCAGCTCCTTCCTTGCTGCCTCGTGTTCCTCTCCTTTTGAAAGCCACATCTTCCTCCATGTCTCATACACCTGCATCCCCATAAAAAGATGAAATATAGATTTCTTACTGAGAGTAATAGAAATGATTGTGAGTAGACCAATCAAAAGAAGAGAGCATAGAGTTTACCTTCTTGTCAATGAAATCAACCCAGAATCTGGCTTGAGCTCGCTCGTAAGGATCTGAAGGCAAAAGTGGGGCCTTGTCTTTCCAAACCTCGTCGATGTACTGCACAATAATAGCAGATTCGCAGATTGGCTTGTCGTTATGGATTAGAACTGGGATTTTCTTATGAATCGGATTCATTTGCAGAAGCAGAGGGCTTTTGTCCCCCAGATTCTCTTCCTTGTACTCATACTTCACACCTTCTCTGCCAGTGCGATCCTAGCCCTCATTCCAAACATGCTCGCCCATGTATCCACAGAACTACCTCGTCCGCCATCGTTTCACTCGATTCTCGAACTGTTGAGGTATAAGAGTTAAGAGACCCCTCAGTGAGCAAGAAAATATTATCCAAGTTTGTTCGAGGTAAAGAAAACACAGATATGGAAATGAAAAGGCACGAGGCCCGAAGAATAGTATTGCTACATAAAGGGAAAGGATGAAAACCCTATTACCCAGATGAGAGCCGCGTGTAGCACAGGATAAGAATGAATTACAATTTGTCATTTATTTGGAAAGTCGAATTACAATTCTGTACGAGTAAAAATAGACAGAAACTAAAGTGAGCTGGATAAGTATTTTTTTTTTGGTAATACTGGATAAGTATTGGGCCTTTGGGGTATTTCATATGGCTTGAATACGAGTGGGCCTAGACGATTTCATCTTGACAGGTCGAGTGCTCAAAATAATTCACTTCCTTTTCTGACCAAAAATAATTCACTTCCTATGGAACAACAATATTACAATTACAAGCACTCAAAATTGACGTTAATGCCTTAATGGCCAATTCACTCAACAAAAATTTCCCAACACTCGCTCACACACACTAGAAGACCATACACATTACAAATGAGAAGACACGTACTCCCTATATATATAGCCTTCAAAAGTCTGTCACTATACAAGTTCACTGACCACCTTTGCTAAAGAAGAGTTCCATTTGAATTTTCTTTTGATAATTTGCACTAAACAAAATCAATTTGATTTTCTGTTTTGACAGCTACCTAGCAACGATTCATCCTGTAGTATTCAACCACGATCTCTTTTTCTTTCACTAAATCTTTAACTGATGTCAATATGCTTACTTCAACCATGAAGAACAAGATTCTTTAACCAAGATACTGTAGACTTTTATCACAGAACAGAAAAGACAATTGTTGGACCATCTTATTCACCAAGCATTATTCGTAACCGGGGTTTTGTGGTGAACCGGGTTCATCCGAAGTATAAGAGGGCTCCTGTAGTTGTTCTGCAGATCCTTCCCATCCCTGTACTCATACTCTATTAGGTTTTAACTTCTATATATAGTATTATACACTAATTGAATATCATGCATGTAAAAAGGAAGCTTCAAATTTTACGTGCATGGGTGGCGTTCTGCAACTTTCCGGTGGGGGAAACGAAAGAGACCAGAGAGAAAATTATAAATAAATAAATTTTAGAACATTGAAACTGTAAAATTAATATCTAATTTTAAAAATATCGGAAATTTAATTTAAAAAATAAATACAATACATATAAGTTTGAAAATGGCTGAAAAATAAAAAAAAGGAAAAATTGATATTTTAAAAATGATTTAGACTAAAGCTTCACAAAGTTTCAATATACATATATTTGTCCATTATATATATATATATATATATATTTGTCCATTAACTTTTACTTTAAAATGTTTGCAAAGAAACAAGGCATTAGTTGACAACTAAAAATTTCAAAATGCATCACCATCGTTGCGGTCTCATTTTTCCCTTGTCTGTTTCATAAATTTGAAGGTCAACTTGACGACGCAAGAGGTGACCAACCATTCTCGTGTCCTTTGACTTGGAACTGTATGTGATTGTGGGTGTGGGTCCCTTCTCTTTACTTCACCCAATCGCCGGCTCTCCCAAATTAATTCAAGGTGCGTTTGAAACAAGATACAGTAAGGAACCCGAAGAGATTTTAGAATGAGTTTAAAACTTTAAAGAAGAACATCACAAGGCATTCACACCAGACTCGCTATTATGCAGAAAATATTGCAGATGATCGTTTCAGATTCACATCTAACTCGTACAGTGTTGTTCCCGCACGCACACAACAACTTGGCCGACGCCACAAATGGGCATAACAATGGTTTTATTTACTTACTTCGTTAAGTTCATATCTTACAGAAACATTAACATAATTTGACCCAACTCTGGCAGACACAACCAAATGGACAACAAACTCAAAAGCCAAGCCTAGCAGAGCAATCAAACAGCAGCAAACAGATTACTATAACGAGCACATACAATCATACACTTTATGATCTAAGACCTACTTATCACATATACTACTCGTTCAGAGAGTGCTTGCGTATATTCGTTCATTCAAGCTCCAGTCATCACTTTCTCTAGGGCCACGATGTACTCGTACACTTTCTTCTCATCAGGAAGAGTCTTAGACACACTATCTTTGGTCTCCAGGCACCTCTTGACCCAACCTATGAGTGTAGGGCACTCTGCCTCCATCTTGAAGTGTCCGTAAGCCTCAAAGGTGTAAAACCAGCATGAAAAGGGAATCCAGCAAACGTCAACAAACCCAAATGTGTCGCCCCCATAAAAGGGCTTGTCCCCAAGTGCCCCTTCTAGAAGTTTCATTATGTCTAGCACCTCCTTCTTTGCTGCCTCGTACTCCTCTCCTTTTGAAAGCCACATTCTCCTCCATGTCTCATACACCTGCTTAAAGATGAAATATAGATTTCTTACAGAGATTAACAGAACAGATAGTGAGTAGAACAATCAAAAGAATTGAGCTTATAGATCAGTCTCTGCCTTTTCGTCAATGAAATTGACCCAGAATCTGGCTTGAGCTCGCTCGTAAGGATCTGAAGGCAAAAGTGGCGCCTTGTCTTTCCAAACCTCGTCGATATACTGCACAATAATGGCAGATTCGCAGACAGGCTTGCCGTTATGGATTAGAACTGGGATTTTCTTGTGAACCGGATTCATTTGCAGAAGCAGTGAGCTCTTGTCCCTCAGATTCTCCTCCTTGTACTCGTACTTCACTCCCTTCTCTGCCAGTGCGATCCTAGCCCTCATTCCAAACATGCTCACCCATGTATCCAACAGAACTACCTCGTCTGCCATTGTTTCGCTCGATCCTCCAACGTTTGAGAGTGTCAGAGTTAGAGACCCTTCAGTGAATTAGAAATATCTGAGGATCAAGAAACGAATGATTGGCTAATTAAGTGCGCCTGATAGATGAAGATAAGGTTGGCGATACCGTCAAAGAACTAGTACTAGTTTCAAAAATTATCAAGTCAAAGAAAATTCTGGTGCTTAACTTAGATGATCTCATGTTCTCATAATAGTAGCATCATTAATAATTATATGTAAAAATTAATTATTTAATTGCTGTAGTTCTGACTGAATTACAGTTCCCTTTATTTCAGCATGGAAATAATGCGACTCAATCCTTAAGTTTCATTCGTTTAATTTGTTATTCATAAAATTAAGGTACACTGATAAAAAATGACTTTCAGCAGCGACTTTTAGTGACGACTCTAAAAAATTGATGTTAAAAATGAACAATTTGCAGCAACAATAAAAATCATCAATAAAAGTTTGACTTTTTGCAGTAGCATTTAAAGTCATCGTTGAAAGTGTAACTTTTTATGACGACAATATATAGTCACCGCTGATTATCATACCGAAAGTCTAAGTTTTAGCAATGACATATAAATCACCATTGAAAGTTGACAATCGGCGGTGATTTTTTAGAATTGTCGTTGATTGTCAACATATTTTAAAATATTTTATAATTTTTTAAAAAATTATGTTATAATAAATTTATTATAAGTTTCATATATCACGGTTGAAAGTTAGCAATCATGGCGATTTTTTAGAATCACCGTAGAAAAGTAAAACTTTTAGTGCGATATTCAAAGTTGCTGCCAAAAGTTTAATTTTGTATTATCATCATAATTTTTTATTTTTTGTTTAATCTAATATTTAACTTTTTAATACATTAATTTGTTGTATTATTATAATTTTATAATGAATATATAAAATAACATAATGAATTTTTATTTTATATATTTTATAATTAAATTGTAACTTTAAAATAATGAAATTATTTTAAAATATGGTTAAGGTATTATTTAATGCTAATGAGCCAAAAGTAAAGAATTAAGTCAAACCATATTATTTTACGTCAATTTTTCTTATCAAGTATGTTTGATTTGATTCAGTCCAACTATTTAGGTCAGTTTGAATAATTGGTTTCAATTAATTAACACCAAGTCTAATTGAATTAACTAATGCATACTTTTATATGAAGTGATAAATTCATTTAAAAATCTAATATTTGATATTTTAATTTGGGATGCATATAATGTGATAATGAGTCTTTATGTTCAAATGTTTTATGATTAGATTGATATTTTAAACAATAAACACTACTTGTTTATAATAATTAGACATGTGATAGTTAAATTTATTTCATTCATAAAATGATATTTATCTAATCTAATTTTTTAATTCAAATTCTACATTTAATACCAGTAACTTTAAAGATTAATATCGGTTTAAATATTTCTAATTTGATAACTAATGATAGGAAAGAGAAAAAACAAAAGAAGAAAAATGAGATATTTTAAAATTTACTTTAAACTTTTACAATATATGAAATATATCTATGTATATGATACTATATGATTTTTTTTTTGTTTGATGCTATCTTGCAACATAAATACAAAAGAAATAGATAATATAGTTATATTTTTATTATAAAATTATAATTTAAAAATGAAAACTAATTAAAAAAGTAAAATGTAATATACTTAAGAGTTATTGTTAATTAAAATTAAAACTAAAATGTAAAAAAAAGTAGTTAGAAAAATACATAAGTATGAACTAATGTATAATCAAATATATTTTTACTATTTATTCTTAAATATTTTTATATTATAATTATAAATATGAATATTAAAATAAATAATATAATAACCTCAAGAAGTAAAGAAATTAAAATAAATAATACAAATGATATTGTATCAACTATATTTATGGTTTACTTTACACAAAATAAATAATATAATTTACAATTTTAATATATTAAAATAATTAAATTGAAGTTTAATGATAGCAATAATATTTTATAATATTTAATATTTAAGACATATGTGTGTTTGCATAGTTTAATTTTATATATATATATATATATATAATTATACAATAATAAGCTGCAAGTTTATTCCAACTCAATGACAAAATGTGAGACACAAAAGTAGGAAGTTATGAGTTTAAATCTTGTAGGATGCAACTTATGAGATGAGAATATAAATTGATAACATAATGACATGTGACGTAAGGTGAGGGTAATATGTGGAGAGTGATATGGTGCCACATGAAGGGGTGATGTGGCGCCACGTGAGTAGGTAAAACCAATATTACTTTTTAATAGTGACAAAAATGTGGTGACTTTTTCTCATCGTTGAAAGTTAAATTTTTTGTAGCGGGAGTCTTCCATACCTAATCTAATGTGGACTAATAGAGTTGATTTCCATGGCATCCAGTTCAACAATGACATGAATTCAAATTCAGAATTAGAAAAAAAAATAAAATAAATGTGTATATATAGAAGAGTAAGCAATGGATTAACTAGAGTAAGTGGAGGCAATGAATGTCGTTAATAGAGATAGTGGGCTGGATTATCATCTAGAGGATACTGATCATGAAAATAGAATATTTCTTGCTGATATTGAAGACGTGGAACTCCATCATTCATAATCACACAGAACCTCTGAAATGCGCTGATATTTTATCCCAAACAAAAAATTAAACAAACAAAAAAAAGCACTAACAAGTGCTGATTCCATTTTCATGTTGAAGATGTTCCCACGGAATATGCTGTGCAGCTTAATTCTATTTTCAGTTTTTCTTTTTTGTTAATCCTTTCAAGCTTGCCGTCATGTAATGGGTGGGGGAAAAAAAAAGAAATTGCACTCAACAACCACTGAAAAATGTTATTCGCATACAAAAGCTAATAATAAGTTACCATTTCAATAGAAAAACAAATCTTTATTTTTATTTTAATAACAATCAATTTCATATTAATTCTTATGTGTGAATACTATTTTTTCATAATTCTTGCGTGCGATTTTCTCTATAAAAAAAAGCACGGGTCTGTTATTGTATTTTGCAGCCTTGCTTTCAAGTAGTTCATGCAGCTAACCATATGTAGGCATTGTGATTGAACAGAGCACTATGAAAGTATGAATTAAAAGGGAATATATAATATGACATGCATCTATACGCATGTATAATTTGTGGTTCATCAAAAGATGTCATAACCCTTCACACATATACAGGGTTAAGGTACTCAGTGAGCCATTTAAACTTTATCTCATGCTTTCTTTGTTTGTCATCTTCCAAATGGATTATTAGCACCCATTTGTGAAGCATCAATCATAGAAGAACCCTCTTGTCTAAACGTGCTTTTAATTAGCTCTGTGGAGTCCTCTCTGCCGTGTTTTCTATCAGCGAAAGAAGAACCTGTGAAATGAAGCCCATGAAGAAGAATGGGTCTCTGTTTGGTATTTTGGTTTGACCATTGACAAACTGCCACGCTAAAATTATCTTAAATATTTTTTTATTATTTTATATTCAATATGTGTCACTTCAACTTGTCCTCTTTTATGACGATATACAAATGTTATATTTTCTGTATTATTCATCTCAAGTTTCTCCTCTTATTTCATTTACTCTCACATGACATTGTTAGTCTTGTAGCGGTCTGATAAAATTCTCTTTTTTGCTTAATCATAACTTTGCGATCATAAAAAGCTACAAATACCTTCTACCATTTCGACCATCCTACTTATATCTTATATGTAACATCTTAATCAATTTTATGGTGATTTTGAAGAATCAATCCCAAATGCTGAAATTCAACAACTTGCGTATGGTCTGCTATTCAGTTGAGCAATTTTTTATTTCATTTGAAAGTGATTTTGATTGTCCAAAATTTTCAACTTAATTTCATAGAACTTGCAACTTATATATATATATATATATATATTATGATAATCTTGTCAATCAACTTCTATTTTAAAATGATAGAAAAGAAATAAAATAATTTGCAGATAATTACCCTCTTCGATCTTATTATCCCTTCTCTAGTTAATAAACTTGCAGATACATAGGGTGTTCAACTCAAATGACGCAAGGCGGGACCATTAATAATTGGACTTGGCTTTTCTTCATTTTTTTTTCTCTTCACGTCCTCTCCACTTCTCCTCTCAACTGTCAGATTTATTTTTGAACGATTGAGATTTGATGTTTCATAAAATTATTATTAAAATACAAAAATTTATAAAAAATAAATATAATAATAATTTTATGAAACATTAAATTTCAACCGTTCAAAAATGAATCTGACGATTGAGATAGGAAGTGGAGAGGAAGTGGAGAGAGAAAAAAATGAAAAGAAGCTGGTCCTTAATAATTCCCATGTCTTATTGAGTTTTGACTTGAAACTGTTGGTGGAAACATATGGGTCCTTCCTTCACTACACCCAAGACTCATGTCACGGGCTGAGAGTCTGGCACAGCACACGGCGCCCGTGCAGTGTCCTGAAGGACCCCATAATTCTCAGAACAAGCCTTACCACATATGAATCCTACTGGTTTCGCCCTGCCATGGGCTCAGTAGGGAGGCGGCACTAACCCTCGACTAGTTGTGCACTTAGCCCGAAAATAAGGCAGAACGCACCCAATGCCAATGTCACCCCCTTTACCCATATTGTACGAGGCTAACCAGCGGATCGTTCATTACATTGGTCTTTACACGGTCACGAAGATAACATTCGTGACATTTTCCCACACCCAATCTAGCACGCCCTCGTGCTAGGGAAGAAAGACTCTGCCCAAAGATCGCATGTACATTATTGCCACAAACACATCAGCTTACTGCTGAATGGCCACCCGAGTCCTGCACTCTTTGGACCCACTCTCACCCGCGAGCCAACAAGAGTGGAGTCAACCATGGCCAACCTTCCCGCCCGAGTCCCTATTTTTCGACCCACCTACACCTCGCAGGCCTACTGGAGCGGTGCCGAGATCGACTAGTCCCAACGTGAGACTCCACAGGAACACGACAGTAAAGTACATCCCGCTCCCCCAAATCACCTTGGGTTCTTCATTTGAAACAAAATACAGTACAGTAAGGAATCCAAAGCTCATCTCAGAGATAATAGAATGGAAGTTTAACAAAAACAAACATCAAAAGGAATTCATACCAGAATCGGCTACTAGCATTGTGCAGAAATATTGCAGGGGATCAGGAATCGTTTCAGATACAAATCTGACTTGTGTAGTGTTTGTGTATAATAAACAAGGAAATGCTAAAAGGGTTTTATTTTCACTTCATTAAGTTCACATCTCACATAAACATTAACATAATTTCATCCCCATTTATCGTTCAATCTGGCAGACACACCAAAGTGGCCACCAAACTCACAACCCCAAGACAAGAAAAGCAATCAAGAAGCAACAAACACACAACTACGACACAGACTAAAATGACCATACCCTCTATGAACCAAGCACAACTTATCATTAGCTAGCTCATTATAGAAAGTGCCTTTTATCCAGTCAAGCACCAGTTATCAGTTTCTCTAAGGCCAAGATATATTCATAAACCTTCTTCTCATCAGGAAGGGTCTTGGACACGCTCTCTTTGGTCTCAATGCACCTCTTGACCCAAGCCATGAGTGTAGGGCACTCTGCTTCCATCTTGAAGTGCCCATAAGTCTCAAAGGTGTAAAACCAGCAACAAAATGGAATCAAACCAACATCAAGAAACCCAAATGTGTCACCCCCATAAAAGGGTTTGTCTCCGAGTGTCCCCTCTAGAAGCTTAAATATGTCTAGCAGCTCCTTCTTTGCTGCCTCGTGTTCCTCTCCTTTTGAAAGCCACATTTTTCTCCATGTATCATACATCTGCACCCACATCAATCCCAATTCTTCACAATCAGATATCACGAGGTATCTAGAGATGAAGAATAGATTTCCTCTTCAAATATAGAAGATTTTGGTACTGAGGATGAACATAAAGCATGGTAAGAAGAAAAATCCTAAGAAATGAGTTCAAAGAATCTACCTTTTTGTCAATGAAATCAACCCAGAATCTGGCTTGAGCTCGCTCGTAAGGATCTGAAGACAAAAGTGGGGCTTTGTCCTTCCAGACCTCGTCGATATACTGCACAATAATGGCAGATTCGCAGATGGGCTTGCCGTTATGGATTAGAACTGGGATTTTCTTGTGAATGGGATTCATTTGCAGAAGCAGAGGGCTCTTGTTCCTCAGATTCTCTTCCTTGTACTCGTACTTCACACCCTTCTCTGCCAGTGCGATCCTAGCCCTCATTCCAAACATGCTCACCCATGTGTCCAACAGAACTACCTCGCCCGCCATTGTTTCGCTCAATACTAGAATGTTTGAGGTTTCAGGGTTAGAGAGCCTTCGGTGAATGCCCAAAAAAATATCCAAGGATCGAGAAATGAATGGTTGCCTGGCCTGATAAATGAATGTATGATTGCGAAATGACAATTATAGATATTACGTGGTCATTGAAAATTAAAGACTTTAAACTATTAAAATCAAAATGTCACGAAAAAATTATAATTTTTATTTATAATTAAAATAAACTTATTATTAAAATAGGCAATGAAAAGTTATTAAAAATTTAAAAATATTTAGTTGTAAATTTAACAAATATTATTCATAATTGAATAAAAATTCAAGTATAAATGTATAGATAATTTCATAAATTTATGCATTATTATTTATAAATTGAAAAATAATCACATATGAATTTTTAAAAAAATTACCTATAAATGCAAACAAGTTGATTGTGGATAAATTTTTCATTAACAATATCATTTATGATTCATGCACAGTTACTTGTAAATTTATAAATAATTTTTAATAATAAATTTATTATTTAGGAAACCTTTTTTTTAGCATACATTTATAACTGATTTTTAATGAATTTATAAATTATAAATAATTTTTCAAAAATTTGTATGTTATTATTGTTAAATTCGTGATTAATTTTTCTTAAATTTATGGTTGATTCCATTGATTATTTCAATAATTAAATATTTTTAATTGCAAATAAATATTATAATCTTTTTATAACATCTCAATTATTATAAATAATTTTAGATCTTCAATTATTATAAATAATTTTTGCTGTAGCTAGCGATGCAACCAAAGTTGATCAGACATATGCGCCTTACGCACCAAGCGACAAGCATAGATTTAGGACGTCTCCAGTGGGAGGGCGGCAGGGCAGATTTCGAGCTCTATAACGTACAACGCTGAGCTGCTTCACTTAGACAGGGTTCCAAAAATGGTGTCCAAAGGTCCAAAGAAAGCTAATCTATTAGATCATCACTCCATCAAACACATCCTCGACGAATCTGCCTCAAAGGCAGTGACTAGTCTTGGATTTATGGAAGACGTGACATTGAGCAATGTCAGGCTGTTTATTGGGACGATTATAATTGTCATTGCTCTCTTCGCCCAGTTTTACAAAAAGAAGTTTCGTGAGAACAAGGACTTCCTGGTCGCCTGCATCGTGTTGTATACAGTCTTCAACGGGTTGTTGCAGTTGATTATATACACAAAGGAGAAGAATGCCATTCTGTTTACATATCCTCCTGTTGCATCCTTCACCAGTACTGGATTGGTAGTCTCTTCCAACCTGCCTAGATTTTCTGATGCATACACACTTACCATAGCAAGCGCAGATCCAAAATTAATTTCTGCAAATGAACCAGTACATTTTGCCAAAAGTGTTACTTGACGGTTAACCAAGGATGGGATTTTGGTGGAGGGCCTTTTCTGAAAAGATGTTGAGGCGCTGATAGATCAGTACATGAAAGAACCTAGAAGGGCAAATGATCTTTGAGAGGACCCAGAATTGGGTTTTTAGTCGCTCTTTGCTGGATAAAATATATGGATGGACAATGCTTATAAACGTTGTTCATACAAGTTTATAGTTCATTCATTTCTAGTAACTAGAATAGAGGTAAGAGAATTAAGCTTTTCACCAGCTTTAGAACTCATGGTTACCTTCATAGGTCGTACAATGAGAGATGAAACTCGTAGTCTCCTCTGGTTTTTCTTGAATAGTTTATTAAATCTCTATACCCTTCTCGGATAATCCAACAAATGAGAATAAAGTTGATAGAAAATATGACAAATATTACTTTAGGAGGAAATAATTTATTACTTCTTATTGCTTTTCATTTAATTTTTGTAAGTTTCCTTCTTATGAAGGAAACCAGGCAGCAAGTAAATTTTTATTGCTTTTCATTAGTTTATTAGTTTTGTTGCTTTTCATTTAATTTTTGTAAGTTTCCTTCTTGTGAAGGAAACCAAGTAACAAGTGGATTTTTATTGCTTTTCATTAGTTTATTAGTTTGTTGCTTTTCATTTAACTTTTGTAAGTTTCCTTCTTGTGAAGGAAACCAGGCAGCAAGTGGACATTTTTTTATTAGGAAGGAAACCTCATGCTTATAAATAGCATGATTTGTGTATCCAGGAGGAGATATTGATGAGTGAATGTTTGAAGCATTATGATTTTCTGAAAGTTCCCTCTCTCCCTTTAGTTCTGCGTCTCTCTTTTGTTTCTTCTCTCATATTTCAATCACTTCTCTCTCTTTTCACCTTCTCTATTCTCACTTCCCCTCCACCTCCCACTCTCTGTTTTTGTTTCTTCTCCCGTATACTATTCTGTTCAAATCAGTGAGTGTGAGTGTGAGTTTGTGTGTTTTACATCAAAAGTGCACCCCCTCGTTCATATTTGATGGACAGGGCAAAGTTTTCATTTTCATGGAAGTACGTATTTTAAACGGCATCGTTTTGGCAGCATTTATAACCCTAGCCATCAAATTGAAGCAAACGATTGCCTCGGTTGATTTAAAGTCACACTTAACTCCACAATGTATGGTCTTAATGCTGCTACTTCTCATCATAACCTTCTGCCTACTATTTGAATTTCTTCCACTTCCGATATATAGCATAGCACCAATTTCTGATGTAAATCATCTCAGACTAGAAGATTCTGGTCTTGTGAAAAGCTTTTGCCTTTGGGAGCCTAGAACCATGCTTATATTTTTTACATGTCAGAACTCCACAGTAGCATAACAAGCTAAAGAAGTTGTCTGTCTCAATGGATGAAGAAAAACACAAAAGAATTGTCCGCTTTCAAGTGAGAGATAAGAAGCTGAGCAAATATCCATCGTCACTGAACTTTCCCGTTATCTTATATCTATAGGGCGATAGCTAACAGTTAGCTCACTTCTTACTGATCTGGTGAAATTGGAACATATATTGGGTTATTATCAAGGGTTGGCTCAATACTAGAATATTCTAATGCGATGTATTTTTACACCCAACAGTTGGAACTGCGCTATGTACCCATGGGGGTCAAAATTAACCCGGTCTAGACACAGCAGGGGTTGAGTAGTGAAAGGGGACTTGATCAAGATAGTATCGACCCAAGGTCGAGTTCTTTACTACTTTTAAAGAGAGCCTTCCTAGAAACTTATCTTCAAGGGAGAGGATAAAGTGTCGCAGTGATAGCCATCATTCTATGATTGACGTTTTGAGAAATGATTCGAAGAACATGGCAGATACATATTCAAAAGAATCTAATTTGAGAAATGATTCAAAGAAATGATTTTGAAATGATTCACTAGGCACCAAACCCATCAGGTTTAAGCCAACAGTTTTATCAAGCACCAAACATATTATATATCTAGGCCAAAAAGTAACAAGTTCGAGAAAATTCTAGAGCTTTTGGGTTGCTCAAGTGATCTCAGCTCTCATAATAATAGCATCATGATAATTAATTATGTTCATTAATTCATAAGAAAGAGAGGGCACACATATGTGTACTACACACACATGTATTGCGTTAGATGTTATAAAGTATTTTTAATTAAATTATATCTCAATTAGAGTTAATTGAATTTTAAAATTATATATTTTTTATATTTATTCTTGTTTAATATTATAAATTAATAAAAAAATTATTAATTACACCCCTAATTAAAAATATTTTTAAAGACATCTCATTTATTATATATTGAAAGATAAAAAATACTTTATATTTTTTAACATTTTATTTTAAAAAAATGTTTTATATTTTTTAATAGAAATGTGTGTAATGAGAAAGGAGGCTAAGTAGAAATCTCATTAATTACATGTTGAAACATAAAAATATTTCACAAAAATATTTTATATTTTTTAACAGTGTAGCGAGAAAGAGGCTTGCATAAGCAGAATTTTTTTAATATTTCTTATATCTGCTTTTTAAAAAAATTGACATAGTTAACAATTTTTTTTTTCTTTTAAAAGGCTTATGGACCAATCCCTTGTACACTAACATAAGCACTATCCTTTGATGTTAGAATCAGCTGTCCCTTTTTTATAGCCCATGATCAAAAATCGAATGAATCCATTAGATTTAAAACAGTTATCCCCTTCGGCCCTAGATCAACCTCGCAAACTGAAACTGAATTGTCCCACATTCACATCCACATTCACGAAGTCATTATTGCCAGTTCTTGGGTTTTTTCAACAAAATATTGGTGAGAATAACAATTAGATTAGGTCCTTAAAATTGAATTCATAACAGTTAGATTCTTAAAGAAAACTAATGACATTTAGATTCTCAACAATTTCTTAAAAAAGAAGAAGTTATAAATATCAATTTAAACAAACAACATTCCAGTTACAGTTTGAGAATAACATTTGAAATCCAAATGTATTTTCTATAATTAAAATTTTTAAATTTACAATTATCTGAATTAATATTTTCACCTCACTTTTCAAATATTTTATTGAAAACTTAATTGTATCATTCTTTCATTCCATTACCGTCTCAAATTATAAAAAACTTTTAAATAAAATATCACATATCAATAAATATTATTAAATATACTTAACAACTTTGTTTTTTTCAAAAATAAAAATATAAACTTTCAAAAACACCTTTCATTTAATATATTAAAAAGAGGATGTGGATTAAAAACACCTTTCATTTAATATATTAAAAAGAGGATGTGGATTAAATAGAGAGAAGATAATATCAAAATAAACCTATTTAATATAACTTTAACATTTTTTAAATATCTTATATTTTAAAATATTAACCTTCTCTTAAAAAGTATGCTATAAAAGGTTTTTGGACTTCGCACTATGCCCACACAAATGGTGTTGGCTCTGTTAACAATAAAACCCGTCATTACTCGGAAGTCAGATCCTCTCCATTCAGCAATTAAATGCATTTACTAAAGGTGGTGCATAAGACTAAATACATATTATAATGTTTGGAGCTAGAAAGGTATTTTCTAAACAAAATAATAAATGCACTTGTCTCATATTTTCTAAAAAAATAATAATAATAAATGCACTTATCTCATTTTCTTACACAGATATATTTTCATTTCTTCTTCAAACATGTAAATGTAAATTGGGCTTATGAGTGTCATTATATACTTGGAAAGAATTCAAAATTAATTGAGGCATTTTTTTAAAAAAATAATTAAAACATAATTACGGTGAGTAAATGCTTTCAATTAATTTTGGTTCATCTTCCTAAATGAGTAATTTGTTTCTTATATAAAGGAGCCAAGGGAGTAAAATTTAACTGAGATGTGTTCCCGCAGAAAACCAGCGGAATTGTACAGTAACGTACAAGTTACAATTACATTTTGATGTATTGAATTAAGAGAGAAACTTTCAAATCATGACAACATGACGTTATGAGTTGAGAGCAACTACACATGTTCTCATTGTACATCAGAAGAAGTTTGGATTTGAGTTTATTGATGTTGGCATAGAAAATTTACCCAGGCTTATCTTGTATAAGGAACTTGCAATGGAGGGACATCTGGTTGAGTTAAAGCAGAAGATTTGCTTCTTCATAGCTAAACATAATACTTCTAACCTCGACCGAATTGAGCTAAATCAAGTGCGAGATCAAGTGTTACAACTCTAGATCACCTGCACAAGTCACCACAGACCAATTAGTTTTCTGAATTATTATATTCGTAAAAAGTTTGCAAAAGAAGCTCAAAGATGTTTTGATCATGACAGATATATTAGAAAGTTGGTGTTGCAAGTTTAACCTAGCTTCTTAATACTTGTATCTTGGTAGGAAAGAGAGCAAACGAAGGGGATTTATTGGTTATATGGATTTTAATTCTACATATCATAGTGCAAAACCAGCCAATGATTATTGAAAACATTTGTTGCTCAGTGACAGTAACACAGCGTGAAAGTTCAGTGAGGCAATGGTAAACCATAAATAGAATTTCAAATCATTCCATTTAGGTACTAACATTCATGACTTCAATCAATATAAAGAAGCACCAAGAGATGGGAACGTCTGAAGTACATGGAAGAATACGTGCTTTTCTCTTCAGATTTATGATTTACTAAGTATATGACAGGTCTGCATTAAATAGAGAGCATGATATTCTATTCTTTTTTTGGTAGAAAGTGCATGATAATCCAAAAGAACTTATGAGAATTGAAATACAAATGGGCATCATGATGTATTAAAAAAAAGTCACTGTTGGCAACCATTTGGTAAATTTCTTATATATTATTGATATATAAGTTGCTTATATATTTTGCATTTATGTACTGTTTGAAAAGGTTCGTGAACAATTAACCTATATATTCACAAGAACAACAATGTCCATTGGTAAATTAATTTTAGCCTTCAATGTAAATAGACAACTAATTTATGAGGAGCAGTGTCCCACAGGCAAAAGAGAAACATCTCAGTTGAAATAAAATCAGATTATTAAATATAAACACAAATATAGGTCACCACCTAGGTCAAAGCGAAGGAAGATCAATGCCTTCAAAATTAACAGGGGAACTAATAACTGAAAAATAGCTCTATTAGTAATATATCATCAATGACTGAAAATAATCATGACAATATAAGGTTTCTAACCTTTGGAAGAAGCATCTTCATCTAACGGGGATTCAGATGTAGGGGTCAATGGAGAATTGTTGACATACTCCCTAGCATCAATCAACATCGCAATGACCTCTTTCATTGTTGGCCTATTAAGTGGGGATGCACTGGTGCAAAACAGAGCAATTTTGAGAACAAGAGACATCTCGTCAATTGTTTTTTGTGCACACAGATTTAATCTTTTATCAAATAATTCAGATGTTGGTACCGATGCTTGAATTGATCTTCTCACCCAAGTAACTAGATCACCACCCTGCTCCAAAGGTTGAACAGGTGACCTCCCAGTAACTAGTTCCAGCAAAACTACCCCGAAGCTATATATGTCACATTTCTCAGTCACCTTCATGGTGTAAGCATATTCTGAAAAGATATCCAGGCAACTATAAGAAACAAAGAAAACACTATGGCCATAAGCTAGCAGATTAAAACATCATCTTCTTAAGCATATCACAAATAAAGACTTTTTGGTAACATTCATTATTGCAACAAATGAATTTAGGATTAGCATAGAACATTTGACCATCAGTTAGTCTTACCCGGAGCAATATAGCCGTATGAACCTGCCACAGCAGACATGGATTTGGAGTAGGAAAAGTCCACCAACTTAGCCAGGCCAAAGTCTCCAACATGAGCCTGATACACTTCGTCAAGCAATATATTGTTTGACTTTATATCACGATGGATGATTTGAGGTTTACAATCATAATGAAGATAGCACAAGCCTTCTGCTGCTCCAAGAGCAATTTTGTAGCGACTACTCCAACCCAATATACACAAGTTTGGATCTGAATGAAGTTGTTCACCAAGGCTGCCGTTTTCCATGTATTCATACAAGAGAATATTAGAATCCTCGTGACAACAGAACCCAAACAGCTTCACAATATTCCTGTGCCTGATCTTTCCAAGAGTTGAAATTTCCGCAAGGAAACTTCTGTCCACATTGGCTCCTTCTCCACGAGAATTCAACTTTTTGACTGCCATCACCTCACCATCAGTCAGAACAGCCTTGTAGACAGTTCCACAAGCTCCTCTTCCAATAATCAATGCTTCTGAAAAATTGCTAGTGGCTTCCAAGAGATCCTGATATGTGAAACCTTCTTTAGGAAAGTAATAGTTGTCTAGGACATGAGGCTTTGATTGCCCTTCAATTGAGACAAAAGAAGAGCCACGGCGTTTCAGGGCCCAACATATACAAACTATGAAAATAAGAGAAACAAATCCAACCACCCCAGAAACAATGCTCACTATCTTTTGTTTTGATGAACCATCTCCCATCCAGCTTGAAGGATGAGATGGATGACAATAATATGAATCTCCACGACACAATCCATTGTTTCCAACAAAATTTGTAAAATTCATCTTACGGAATGCTGGTGTGTCTGGAATAACCCCTACCAGTTTATTATTGGAAACATTGCAGACTAAGAGGCTGGGAAGCTCACCAATTGATGCAGGAATTTCACCAACAAGCTGATTGTCATTTAAATAAAGACTTTCCAACATTTGCAAGCTCCCAAGGCTGTCAGGAATTGTACCAGAAAGTCTGTTATAGCTCATGTTAAGAGCAATCTGAAGAGCAGCTAATTGACCCAAATGAAAAGGAATGCTCCCAACAAATAAGTTACCCCCTAGTTCCAAATCTGTGAGACGTGTGAGCTCCCCTAAAGCACTTGGTATTGTTCCAGAGATTCTATTATCTGAAAGTTTCAACAGCTCCAGATTCACCAGCTTGCCCAGATCTTCTGGAAGAGCACCAGTGAACTCATTTCTACTTAGATCAAGCCTCTGAAGTTTTATACAGTTGCCCAACTCATAAGGTATGCTTCCACTGAGAAAATTAGAGGAAATGTTGAATGAGACAAGCTGTGTTAAATTCCCAATCTCAGGAGGAAGAAAACCTACAAAATAATTGTCTGATAAGAGGAGCCTCTTTAAATTCTTGAGGCGACCTATCCCATGGTCTATTAGTCCTGAGAATCGGTTCTGATGAAGTTCAAGAGCAGAAAGATTATGAAGTCCATATAATTCAAGAGGGAAGCTTCCTGTCAGTTGGTTGTCTCCCAGCATTAGTTGCACAAGAGGCTTGCATGTTTTCAGGTCATCTGGAATATTGCCAAGCAACTTATTTGACCCAAGGCTCAGGAACTGCAATTTCTGATTGCGGCAAAGATGGGGAGGTATCATACCAAGAAGATTATTTGTAGATATATCAAGAACTGTAAGGTTGCTATTAGATCCAAGATAAGGAGGAATTTTACCCTGAAGTTGATTATCAAATAGCTGCAAATCCTCCATGTATGTAAGATTTTGAAATGCTAGTGGAATTGTACCAGCTAAGTTATTTATAGATAGGTCTAACTTCTTTAACAGCTTCAACTTCTCAAGCTCTTGAGGTATCTCTCCCTGCAGAAGATTTTCAAATAGATGAAGCAATCTTAGACCAGAAATCTGACCCAACTCTTTGGGAATATTTCCACTTAAACGGTTTTCAGACAGATCTATCTCAATGGCATTTGTGCAGTTCCCTAGCTCCACCGGAATTGAGCCATTCAAGCGGTTAGTGTATATGTACAGCCTTTGTAAATTTGACAGCTTTCCAAGCTCCTTGGGGAGAGCTCCACCAAATGAATTATGATGCAAAGCAAGCGATCGCAGACTACTAAGATTTCCAATCTCAGGAGGAATCTCACCAGACAAATAGTTTTGCCATAGATTTAACTCAGTAAGGTTCTGAAGCTTTTGAAGCTCCCTTGGAATGGACCCTTCTAGCTGATTCTGTGAGAATCCTAATATCTGCAAGCTCTCACACTGGCTTATGTCCACGGGTATTGGACCTGAGAGGCTATTAACACCTGCCCTGATGATTTTAAGCTGCTTCAACTTACTGATAGACGTGGGAATTCTTCCAGTTAAGTTGTTGGTGTAAATGACTAGCTCTTCAAGTGAAGTTAAATTCCCAATCTCTTCAGGCACTTCACCATGCATGTAATTTTCACAGAGGTAAAGCTTTCTCAGTGTGGTGATTTTGCAGAAAGGAATCAGAAGTTCTCCATGGAACCTATTTGTACAAAGGTCTAATATCTCTAAACGACGACAATTGACAAAATCCACAGGAATAGGACCAGAAATAAAATTTTTTGACAGATTCAACTCAACTAGCCATGGAAGGTTACAGATGCTAGAAGATAAAGCACCAGACAGATTGAGTTGATGAAGATTTACGGAAGTTACCAACGAATCCTCACAATGCACACCTTTCCAATTGCAAGGAGTCGAATCAGAAGAATTCCAGTTGTGAAGATAATTTCGTGGGTCAACAAGAGAAGCTTTGAACTCCAAAAGATTTGAGCCATCTTCATCAATCGAACTCACAAGGACGATGTCAAAACAAAATATTAGCATCAAGCAAAACGGTTTTTGCAGGCTGTAATACGACGCTACTGCCATTTTTGCAGGCTTTATGATTGGAAAGCATATAGAAAATGGAAGAATTGCAGTGCAGAAATGTTTTACAGAAGCAGAAGTGTGAACATGAGAAAGTTCAAGGGATAAGACAAAGCAGAAGATGAAGAAGAAAGCAGAGAATACCGTAATGTGAAAGGAAGAATACCGGGATGAACCGAAACCTCGTTGAGATTACCAAATTTAAAGTCCATAGAAAAAGAAACAGACCCACAGAAGCAATCAATACGAATCGCAGGGATATGGGAGAGAGACAGAGACAAAACCAGTGATAGATGAGGAGCATGAAAGTGGAGCCGAACCGCAAAAGTCACGTTCTGGGAGGGATTGAAATGCTGGGTCAACGCTGGATTATCACTTTACAGAGAAGTGGTGAAACGAAACCAACAGCTGTGTTCTGTTGGATTTCTTGTTTCTTCTCTTTTTGCTTCGTTTTCTGGCCATCCTCCACCAGTAATGGTTATCTTCTTCAACTGTTACTATCATTTCCATTTGAAAGATTGAGTTGACGGGTTTGAACAATAAACGGTGTAGATCGGGAGGATCACGACGTGGAAAATTCTAGGATCACAATCTCCGCCATTGTTGTTGCTGGGCCTGCCAATGTGGGAATTCTAGTGGGAATTTCGCGCTGTTTCTTGTGAAGTCACGAGGGTAATGATTTCTCCTATTTGCACCAGTCAGTGGCCTAACGCCACTTAATTCAATTTCCCTACTTTTTATTTCTTTGACGACTGCAATTAGGTTTCTGCTATTTTCACATGTTGGTGAGCTTTGAATCTCTGAAACTGATCTAATATCCCCTTCGAAAAATAGAGTTCTTGTGTTAATATATATATATATATATATATATATTTTGCAGAGCTTCATGTACTATGAGTTAATGTTGTCTACTTTTTTTTTTTTACACCAACAAGTTAATTGTTAGATTTATTAAAAAAAACGTTAACATTTTTCAATTTATTAAAATAGCCTGTTTGTCAAATATTTATTATCTTTAAAATTTAACCATCAATATCAAGCAAATTTAACAAATTAAAATAAATTGACTTTTTCTTTTTAAAGATTAGTGAATATTTATACATTATTGTTGATTTAAGAATACAAAAAAAAGTTTTTATATATTTTTGCAATTTAATTCTAGAAATAATGTCAAGCCATTAATAGAGTGTCGCAGAAATGCAGCCTATGTAAGCATTTTTTTTTCTTTTTCGTTTTCCATAAATCAATTCAATATATAACTAAATCTAAATTTACTGTGATTTCTTATTCGATTGGCATTCAAACAGTCAAAACTCATTTTTCCCCAACTCACCAAATTTTTTTAACATAAAACTCACTTTTTAAGCAGTATCAATTTAAAACTGACATGCATTATGCAACTTCACCGGTAATTTATAATTTATCTGGTTTGTAATTTATAATACTATTTCTTAAAACTTTACCATGGGTTATTATGATACTTTTTTATAAGGCAATTTAACGTAATCTTAGGAGTCTTCAATATAATTTTTGTCAAATTTAAAATTATAGATAGGTTTAGTTTTCTTTTTAGGATCAACGATTGATTGTGCCTTCTAAGTTACATTTTCTCTTAGAATGCAATTTTCCTTTCTTCTCTCATGGCCATTGGTTGGCTTTTTCCCTTAATTACCGAACTGCAAACAATGAATGAAAAGAAGAAGAAAAAAATATTCTTAAAATGTGGCCTAACTTATTCCAATCACTATCTTGGAGAGAGTCTACAGTAACATCACTATATGGGCAAAAACCTCAAAAACTATAGCAATCAATTGCTATGCTTGTTTTCTTAGGTAAAGTCTTAAGGTTCAAAATTACGTTAATATATGAAAAAAATTATTAAAAGAGCTTTACACGGATATAATCCAACCCAATTTGCTTTGAACTAGTCAAATATAATGTAACTTTTCTTAAACATAATGACATTTTGAAAAATTGAAAAATTTAAGTACTTGATCTTACATGTATATTTTTATCCAGTTAAATCCAAACAAGTGAATTTTGAAGTGTTGATAACATTGATAATGAAAATTTATTATACAATTAATAATATACAAAGATCACACGTGTTGATTTCATTAAAAATAAATAATTTAAACATATAACGTTAAGTATACAGGTCAATCTCCTAATTCTAAGAAGCAAAAGATTTTTTTTTTTAACCAACTAAGCAAAAGAAAATTGTGAAAAATGTAAGGGATGGAAAATTTTATATGTACATAGAGAAGCGGTTGGTACTAGTACAGTGAGAATGGCAATCCCATTTGCGCCCAAAATAGATGTCGTCCACTTTGTGCCCAACGCTATGAACTTCAACAGTCCAAGCCCTCATTGGATGTTTAATATTTGTTTTTCATAAAGTTGGTTTGCTTTTGTCATGTCAAAATTGACTTCATCTTCTATTTTATTATTGCAGCGAAACCCATATATATGGTCTCATCCATCATCTCACTATTTTCTAAAGTATTAACTTTAAAATTAAATTATCCTTTCTGGTGTCTTTTTTGACCCTCCCCTCCTCTACGTTGCAATGAAGATCCACCTTAGATTCCATTATTACTGAATTGTACAATATATATTCTCCAATCCTTGAGCATATAGCTATCCAGGGAGGTAGGCATGTAATATTCTGCATCGGATTTTAAGAATGGTTGGGACACATAAGTTTTAGGTTTAAGAGGGATTTGTGTATATTTTAAAAATTAAACCGTTTCCAATTTTTATAATTCAACATTCATTCAAATTTTAAGTAAAAAATGTCCTTTTCTTTTTTTTTTCTTGAAAAAAATGAACTGTGAATGCGCATTAATTATATCCATAATAGCATGGCTTTTGAGTTTTTAACCAACTTTTTTTTTCATCATAATTCTGACAGTAAGGATTTCAAAATTAATCTTATTTACAAATTTTAATCTGAAAGTATTTTTAAAGTTAAATAAGTGGTAAAACATTCAATCACAAATATATTTATCTGGAACTGGTCTTTTATTGGGTCAAGCAGGTATTGGGCCTACACCCAGCCTATCGACCCCTTTCGGTCCAAATTTTGGATGCCATTTGAAAGCAATCTTCTTGGCGCACAGGCGTTATAACTTTAAACCTAGAAAAAAAGATAATCAATAGTCTATTTCAAACAGAAGAAGGGGATGCGATAATGTGGGGAAGAGAACAAGTAACTTGATAAATCTCTAGCATATGAAAATGAAGGAAAACGAAAAAGGAAGAGCTAAATTATTTTATATGGTTATCTATTTATATCTTTATTCACTTAGCACTCATCCTTAAACTTTCATTGTATTTATTTATTCTAAGCCAAGCTTCGTCCCTCGTACATTAGATCCTCCAATGCTATCAGCCCTCTTTGCAAAAGGACGTTTCGGAACTGGTTTGTTGATATTCATTTAATACACTTTGACATTTGTATTTTTTTTTTATTACTTGTAACTTATTCAAGACACGATCAGAAACTAAATATAAACACACTTTTCTACGGAGATTTGAATATTTTTAAGTGTGCCTATTTGTATCTTGAGCATTGTCTCTCCGAAAAAAATTTCACTTTAACCATCTACAAGTTCAAAAACTTGTCAATAATACATCAAATTCGTTATTATCTGCTTTGAAAATGTACATATATCAATATTATGCAAGTTGTCTTTTAGTACTGAAAGTCTAAATGTTTGTTATTTTTCATGATTAATGGTCAGTGTTATTGTTTTTCTACCAGCATTATAATTAGCTTTTTTCTTATCTTAGTTAGGGGTCCATTGAAGTGATCAGACAGGCCTTGCAGGAGCTACCACAAGGTAATGTGACTTTGAAGCTAAGTTTTTGTTGGGAGCAGCAGGTGTTTCATGGCATAGTTACTCAGCGTCTTATCAATAGCCTTGAACTTATCTTCTGGCCGACGGTAAGTAGGGACAAAAGATGCTCGAAGTCTCTGATCCAAGTACAACATGTGCAATATATATGTATATATATAATGGAAGTACATAAAGCAAAGACAAATAAACAAACAAATAAACCAGATTCTTATCGAAATATATTTCTAAATATATTTATAATGCCACTAGTTGGCCTCCAGAAGTATTCCCGATAGTTCTAATATAGCATGTCATGATGCAGATTACAAGAATCCAATTATGTTCTAGTAGCAAGAAATGTAAAAGCAATTTTATTTGGAGAAGACAATCAGAATTGAAAAGGTTTCAGTCGACAGTATAGTTATCTCATGCCCTGGCGTGTCAATAAAAAACCTAAGGCAACAATCCGCATCAACGAGAACTTGAACTTAATATGGCTTAATTCCTTATGAAGCAACTAATAATATGGTCAACAACAAGGAATTAAGACTCAGGATGAATATGTGTGACATAAATTTTAGAAAATAAAATCATAAAAATTAAAATTATTTTCAAATTTAGGGACTATTATTTTAAACTACTAAAAAAAATTTGGGTACAAAATTGCTAAAACTTTTAATCTTTATAAAGTTTACAAAGATTAAATTTATAATTATATTATCTAAAATATAAGAATCAATATTTTACATGATCAAAGTTTAGGGATTAAATTATAATCGAGTTTAAATTATAAGAATTAAATTATAATAAATTATAATGGAATCAAAACTATAACAAGTCTTAAGTGCTAAAACAAAAAATAATGACTAAAAATAATGGCTAAAACTAGGATAGATGGTTTAATAATTAGTTGTGCTGAAACAAAAAATAATGGCTAAAAATAGGATAGATGGTTTAATAATTAATAGGCCTAGTGGGGCTCCCTCTCACGTATAAGGACCATAGAAAACATGACCACACGTTGAAGGCTGAAGAGTAAGAGAAGATCATCAACTTGTAATTTATCATTAGGCTATTCCCACAGTGGAAGTTACCATGCCCAGTTGCTCACGCTAGGAGAGTAGTGCGTTTCAAATGTTTCACTGCGAATGCACCTTCGTTACTCTTCAACCTTTAAAAGTAAATTATCACTCAACAATATTCATAAAATTTTAAATGCTGATAATTAAATCTTTGGAAACAACTTGGTTATATCTTTTTTTTTTTAATTCCATTGCTTGGTGTCTGGGAAATCTAGAAGTATTACGATCTCCCACTCAAATTAATCTGTTCTTTCATAATATGAAATTATTATTACTAATGGTAGTTTCACGAATACCTCATTATGCTTTTAACATATTTATTTAACATGAATGTATAGTTGAGATCTCAAGATATTGATTCAAATCCCTCGACTAATTAAATCAAATGCCCTAAGTCACAATTTGGTTATATCTGCCAAGAAAAAAAGATTAAAAGATGCATAATAAAGTGTATATCCTTTTGATTCATATTTCATATACAACGTAGCACAGCCCATGATCTATATTTATAACACACGCAAAATTGAATACATATATACGGTCATCACTCAATCCCTCCTATCTTTCCTTGTGTCTACTAAGATGTCCACTACAGGTACAACTCAAGTGAACCCCAAAAATAAAATCCTAAATTTTGGCAATGGATCCCAAGCACATTATTTCCTTGCTTGATTACTATTAACGTAACGATAGTAATTGCCATTACTATAGTTGGAGATTAAGCTATATTTATATCCCTTCTTATTCTTGAGAACATAATCAAGCCCCTTCCACCACCACGGTCTCCTCCTATGCGTCATGTGACTGCTCATATGCGACCTGCTCTTCTTGGTCACTAGTCCACGAACCTCCGGTGGTCTGTAGGTTCGGATCAACGGCCACTTGATTCCACCAAAAAACGCGTGTCGTTTAATATCGGTCGCACCCCTGGCGCATCCTAGCCTTCCCCTCGGGTCCTTCACCAACAGTTTCTCCATCAAATCCCTCACTTCAGCCATTCCTTCTTCCTCTACTTCTGCCACGTGGAAGCTCACGTTTCTACTCGATGCAATATTGCGCAGGGTGCTCTCTTTGCTCAGCCCTTTAAACGGCGTCGTTCCGTACAACAACTCACAAATGAATACCCCAAACGCCCACCAGTCCACGCCGTTGCCGTGGCCCTTGCCGGAGACTAACTCCGGTGCCAAGTACTCGTGCGTCCCAACACAGGACCTCGAGAAAGCTGCCTTTGGCTCCGCTACGAAATCTGCTTCCACCACTCTCTCCGGCGATCTCGCTCTGACACCACCTAAACAGTTGCACACGAGCTTCTTTCTCTTAGTGGGCCCTGCACGACACTCGAATGTGGGGACCACGTCGGCCTTGAAGCACAAATCAAAATCGGACAGCATGACGTGGCCGTCTTCACGTAATAGAACGTTCTCTGGTTTCAGATCCCTATATACTATGCCAAGCGCATGCAAATATTCCAACGCTACCAAAACCTCCGCCGCGAAGAACCTAACCGCCTGAACCGGCAGCCGGTTCCCAGGCTGTTTTCGGAGGAGAGAGTGCAGGTCGCCGCCGGGGCAGTAATCGATCAACAGACACGTGTAATGCGAGACTTCCAATCTTGCGTAGAGCGTAGGAAGAAAAGGATGGTCCAGCATGGACAGGATCTCCCCCTCCATTTGCACATGGGAGAGCTTCTTGCTACTTAGCAAGTCCTTATCGACAACCTTGAGGGCAAAGTTTGCGTGATCGTAGTCGCGGAGACGGCAGAGGAATACTCGCCCGAGATTCCCTGTGCCGAGGTGGCGGAGGAGCTTGAGGTGGTGGAGGTGGAGGGTACCGTCTGACGAGAGAGTGGTAGCAGCTTTGATGGCTGACCAATGAGGATCGGAGGCTCGATGCGGTCGGAGGAAGAGTGTAGAAGAGGAAGTTCCGGCGGAGGCGGAGGCGGTGGATAGACGTTCGTTAAAGCTGAGAGTCAAGCTGCTGCGAGCCAAGCTTGTGCGAGCACTAGAGGAAGCAAAAGTGCGATCGGTGGTGGCGGAGGTGGTGCTGGTGAAGCTGAGGTCGAGATCTGTATCAGGAGGGAAAAAGGTATCTTCTTCCATGGTTAACACTTCTAAATTCTAATGGTGAAAGCTTGGTGGGTGTTTTGGGGCGTATGCATAAGGAAGGACACAGAGTATATATAAATCACAAGATGAAATAAAATAAAATGAGGAAAAAAGCTGAATTATATACCAGGTTGACCCTAATACAAGGACAGGGACAGATGAAGGTGTTAGGTTGACCAAACTGAGGTCTTGCATGTTAAAATAGAGAGAGAGAGAGAGAGAGAGAGAGAGAGAGAAGGAATCCGAGTAGTGCATACGAGTATGGGTGCATTGGGGAATGGTGTGTATTATAAAAGAATAAGACTAGAAGAGGTTAAGTTGGATGTATTGGTATTTAGTAGGTATGGCTTTATATCTACGTTGTTTGTCCCGAAATGACAGTGCGATCCACCTCAGGTTGTGTACTATTCAAGTTGTTGAAACAAGTTCTCTTTCCGGGCGGCTCAGTTTAATTAATAATGGCACCAATTTATTTCTTAAAATAAACATATTTTTGCATGGTTTTGATGACTTTGATGCTCATATAGCAGCTAGATACAGTCCACTTCGAGAACTATAATGAGAGCAGAAAACATGGAGGGTGTTTCGTTCCTAATGTATCGCCGGTTCTTATATACATATTTATAAAATTATAGAGCATATCAGCGAAGTGGGTGTCATGTTGCAGCAGGTGGACGTGGATTTCACTTTTGGTTAGCAGAATTTTTTCCTCAGATAATAATATACTTTCATTAATTCTTCACACTTAATCATCATATCATATATGTCACTTTAATTTAGTTCTTTTTTTGTTCGATTTTTCTTTTCTTTTTGTCCTAGTTCATTTCATTATCTTTTCGTGTTTTGGGATACGACCACTCATGGGTTCACATCAGACATCAGTGTCATTCAATGAACTGAAATAATAATTGAAGTAGGTTCGAATTATGACTCCACGGTAATAAGTAGTCAGAATAAACAAATCTTCACGTGAAATTTGTTTGAGCCATAATTAAAAAAAAAAAACTCTTCTATTTTTCCTGGCTAACAAGACAAGTTTATTCTTTGATGATCATAACATCATTCTTTTGTAAAATTCGAAAGTTTTGTCAGGGGATTGATTTTGTAGTTTAAAAAATATATATGTGTAACTCCAATTAATTGATTATTTGTGCTCATCCCTTTAAGAAGCACCATTAAAATTACATGAAAGAAATTATTGTTATGTATTAAGGTGAAACAGGTAAGATGATAAATAGATTAGTGCATATTTTAGGTCATGTATTGTTATTGAGACGTGCGCTTGTCTGCGACTTGATTTCAATGGTTATATTATAACTACATAGCAAGTACGTAACACACATATATTCAATGAATATGAGATTATTTTATATCTATTAATTGAAATTATTCAAACTTGGATCTCAACGACAAATAAGAGAAAAAAAAACAACACAAAATTAATTTTATTATACCATTTAATTAATTAAATAGACTAATTACACAGTCGTCGTGACATAATTTTTTAAGAAAATTCCAACTTTTTTTTCGTACATATTGAAAATTCAAAATCATTTAATATTTCGACAATATCCTTATAGTAATCTTTTGATTGGCTTTATTGTAATGTGAAAAATAAACACTAAGGAGATCTGTACAAAATATTATTCCACACGATCCCTCTTCCTTTCATTAATTAAAACACCAATTGTTACTGGGGCTTCGTGAAAACCTTTCCAACAATATATATATATATATATATATATCGGTCACAAAACTAGATTTTCATTGAATCTGATAAAGGTAAATATAGTTCTTTTTATTTTTCATGTAAATTAAACATAAAATAATAATATATTCAATATAATCTAGAGGATAAAGATATGCATATTTATAATTGATTAGTACTGTACTGATTATTATGTCACCCTATATTAAGTATTGGCTTGAATTTGAGTAGAAGGAAAAGTGAATATGATTGTAATGTTAAGTAATAATCAATTCACTGGTATTATATATAATTTTGTTAAGCGATGAGGGGTTGAGGTGAGAAATGAATGGGAAAGGCAAGATGGGAAGAGAGATGGCCCCATGTGATGGGCCAAATACTTAAACGGTTAAGCACATAAAAGGCTGGGGCCCACGTGGGAGCCGAATGGGCGTGACGGATGCTGTCTGCCACGTGGTCAACATGGCCCTACATTGTCGCTCACCCTACATTATTCATTCTATATTTCTTTTCCTTTTTTTTTTTTCCCAGCTGTAAGAATAATAGATTTTACATGCTGTCCTGAAAAAAAATCGTACTTTACCTGCTAAAGTTGAGATTAGAATCGAGAATTCGAGCGAGCCGGGCCTATTTGTTTAGAGATAGATTTTACATGCTGTCCTGAAAAAAAATCATACTTTACCTACTAAAGTTGAGATTAGAGCCGGAAATTCGAGCGGGTCGGACCGAGCTCGGCCCGAATAGGCCCGACCTGAATAAGCCCGAACCTGAACAGGCCCGACTCCTCAAAAAGCCCGAATAGTCAAACCCGACCCGAATACTCAAACTTAATTTTTAAAATTATTTTTAATTATTTTTTTACTTTAAAATTAATTATTTTATTTTATAAAAAATATAAAATATATTTTTTAATACTTAAATGATGTCTAGGACTCAAATATATGGTATTTTAGTATAAAATGATCTAAAGCTTAGAGAATTAATTAATATTTATTATATTATATATATTTTTTAAAAATATAATTTTTTTATTCGGGTATTCGGGCCAAGCTTGAACCCGATCGGGCTTGGCCTGAATTTTTTTCGAACCTATTCGAGCCGGCCTGAATAGGCCTGAACATAAAAAAATACCTTTTTTTAAGCCTGACCCTAAAATTTTTCAGGCCAATTCGGATTAGCCCGTCGGACTTGACCCGAATTATCGACTCTAGTTGAGATACAAGCACTTAAGTGAAGTTCAAAATTCAAGTCATGTATATATAAAAATTTAATTGGGAGAAATATATGCTTTACTCTCATTAAGTGATTAGATTTCATAAAAAAAAAGTGATTAGAATTCAAATTTCAACTATTGTGTATATAAAAACTTAATTGGGAGAAGTTTATACTTTACTTTCAATATATTGGGGACATAATTTTGCTATTGACGAGAGAGCTTGCTCTTTGTGTTAAAAAATATCACCCCTTTTTCTGTTTGAAAGTTCATTTATTGTCTTAATTTGAAAATTAGTAAAAAAGTTTGGATGGATTTCATATTGTTTTTTCACACGTTTAATTTATTTGTTATTATTGAGAACTTCCGAGTTAATGTAATATTGTTGGACTCAATTAAAAAAAATCGCCCCTTGTTTAAGGGGAATCCAATTTTTTTACTTACTCCAACCATCTTTGATGATCGACTTTAGATATTTAACGACAGAAGTTTTTTTTTTTAGATTTAACCCATGTCAAAGATGCGTGACATTAATCCTTAGAAAAAAAGGTGATGTAAATCCTTGATCTAGCTCTTAAAATAACTGAAAGAAATGATGAAAATAAAAGGCATATGAATAAATCGAGCTATTGAACTTGTACTCTATTTCTTATCTACATCTGACTCTTCATTTCTCAATTGTTGAAGAACGTCCTTATTATTAACACATAATTAAGAATCCAAATCTCCTCTTAATTAGATGTGATGGATATCTCTGACTTCTACTCAACGCCCTCCCACACCCACTCATTTACATTTTAAAAAGTTCAAGACTTATTTAATTTCTTTCATTAAAAAAATCAAATCTTTTCTTCCAATAAAATTAAAATAATTAATTATTTTTAAATTAATATCATCTTTTTATATTTATTCATTTTTAATTAAGTATTTTATTTTTAGGTAAATATAAAGCGATTAATTTATTATGAATATTTAAAAAAATACATTAATCATATATTTAAATATTAAACATATCTCATATTTTTTAATATTTAACTTAAAAAAAAATGGTTTACATCTTTCAAAGAGGGAGAAGTTATTATGATTATGATCAGTCACAATGACGTCAATTTTTTGGGTCTATAAGTTAACCGAAAGTGCACTTGTGTGTTAAGTAAATTAAAGTGAACCTTTGCTTGTTGCAAGGCGCTGGTCGCTGAGGTAGACCGCATCACATGAGATGCACGTGAATTAACTCAGAGTCGGTTTGTAGTCTATACAGCCTCCCTCTTGACGTTTCTACGATCAGCGCCAAGAGGGGTGATTTTGCGCATAAATAAGTATAAATCATCATAGTATTCTCTGATTATGGCAAAAAAAAAAAAATAGTATTCTCAGATCCCGAAAATAAACAATTATGAATTCAATATCTTGTTAGCTTAAGTGAACGTGGCTCGAAAATTTATATATAGATAATATGTTAGGATATTCATGACTGCCCTGCACGTAGAAAAAAATATTACTTTGACGTGCTAGCTGCAAGGTTTTATACTAGCTTTTGCCTATAAATATCCAGCTCTAGAACTAACTGTTTCTTATAAGCTTAATATTTGGCCAAGCTAAGTTTAATAAATACATGCAGATAACATGGGATTCTTCTTTCCACACAAACTGATGAGTCTTTGGAAATGCTAATAAAAATAAAATAAAATATTTCCAATGATCTACTGCATACATACATAGACACACTGCATAGTTTTTCATATTTATGCAACGTTAATGTACGAAATTACACACACACACACACAACACAACTGCGCGCGCGCGCGTAACTCAGGCATCTTGCTTAACCATGTGCATTTAATTACTTAACCATCTCCCAACTTGTTCACCTAGTGTGTGTGTGTGACTTAATAATTAATTTCCTTCCATACTGCTAAAAATTTCAATCAAAATTGTCATCTCTTGTGTTAATTTTTAAGTCTTATGCATCCACTTTTTTATGGAGGTCATGTTAAAATTTTTATATTAAATGTATTTAAAGATTGTATACTCTATCAAAATAGTTTAAATTATTTGATTAAATACTTTTTAAATTTATATATTTATAATTTGTCTTCTAATGTTTAGATGTTGGATCAGACCTTTTTATCTTCTAATATTCTCTCTACTGCTTTTTTTCTCTCTTTTCTATTTTTTTTCTTTTTGTCTAAGCTTGTACTTTAAAAAAAAAATCTCAAAAGCTTGAAGTCTATTCATTTTTTTAATCTCTTGTTCTTTTTCATCTTTCCTTTTTTCCTTTTTTTCTCATTTTTCCCCGATCAAATGGCTTTGATATCATGTTAAAATTTTTATATTAAGTATACTTAAGGATAACATATTTTATTAAAATAACTTAAATCATTTAATTTGATATTTCCTAAGCTTGTATATTTATAATTTGTTTTCTAATTTTTAGATGCGGGACTTTCTTTTATCTTCTAATAGGTTGTAATGGTTTCAAATTCGAATAATGATATAAAATATATAAAAAGGAAATATTTGGTTCATAATTAAGTCTTAAAATGTGACTGATTTCAATTCCCCAACATACACAAATACTGCTCTAATTTGGTTTGTACAGTAATTCAATAAATTTTTAGCAGGGTTTTAACTCAATAGTAGCAATTTTGGCCACGGTTCGAAAAACGTAATCACTATTAATTTCGTCACACAAAAATATAGATATTTTTGTTCATTACGATCCCTTTTAATTTGTCGGCATGAAATATAGGTTACAGGTATAGTAGCGAGTATACCTTATAAATATCGACACTCTTCAGTACGATGCATCTATTTTCAAATTTTCTAGCGAAATATGAAAGCAGAAATTACAATTAGTGCAAACAATATAGAATATTAGTGGTTAATAATTCAATATAATCGTAAGCCTCTCTCTAATATGTGCACATACATATATGTTGAGAGACAAAAGCACATGTTTATCAAATTTTTTGGAGAATAGTATATAATAATCATAATAATTATTCAATAATGAAGTCAGCTGATTATAACATAAACACGTGCCTCGCACCGTTGTGTTGGTGTGTGCGTGGATCGTGACTTTACCTGGCCGACCCTTCCTTAGCTTCTCCATTGAATGCAATTGATTCATTTCAAGACATGGCACAATGTGTGTCTGCTACACTCACATGAAAACACACATTTATCAGTACCTAAGTTTTTCTCTATGAAAATCGCGTGTCGCGTGGCCCGAGATTTGAATATCCATGAACACAAACATTTCAATGCCATTGATCTAAAGTCAAAAAATGATTTATATTTTTTAATAAACTATTTGGTATGTGATGCTACTTTACCTTACAATATGATTTTTTTCGTTCAAAAAGTTTGACCTGTTAATATTGCTCAACAATAATAATAATCGAGGTCTACACTGACAAGTCTAAATATTATTACATGATTGTTGAAAATCTATATCATACTCTCTTTGATCCTATTTATAAATGACTTTAAGCATATTTCACAAGAATCAAGAAGACCTTAAATCTCGTTAATTTCATCTTAAAATTTAATAATTTTTTACCTTCATTTCTAATAAATATTCTTAAATCTTATTATTGGTATTTTTATTCAAAACATTTGATAAGGATAAAAATATAAAAAGAAGCATTAAAAATTGACAAATGTCCTATAAATAAAGCCAATTCTCTTTCTACCTTATAAATAAAATCAGAGAAATAACATGATATATAGATGATATAAGTATTGTAAATTTACTATAGAAAATCACATTAAAAGGTTAAGGAATCACAGGAAGAATAAGTATGTGTGTTTGCACTATATATGATTTTTTTAAAAAAAAATTATGAGGATTAAGAGTTTGAATTTAATTAAGACTACTTGCCAATTTTTCGTTGAAATTTTTGGATGGGGTCGTATGCATAAATTTTGATACTACTGCAGCACTTGCCAACACAGGATTATTTTTTTTTTTTTTAGTTTCATATGAAAAGATCATCGAATCGTTGGGAGATACATGTGTTTGGACTGCGATTTTATTTTATTTTTTAAAATGTGAGCAGTATGAGTTTGAATAATTAAGTCTACTTGCCAATTATTCACATGGATTAGATAAACCGGTAACTAATTAATGCCATGTTGTAGGGTAGTTAGACCCATGGTGGATAACTGTCCGCAATGGAGTAGAGTTAGTCTAATATTAATTCTCTTGCGATAATTTTTTTAATATGAAATAATGAATAGAGATTTTTAATATGGTAGATAAATATAACAAATTATACATCTTATAAGACATTCAGAAAGATAATTTAGAGAAACTCGAGAATATTTAAAAATTAAGGCATGTTCTGTATTCAATATAATAACCAAAATATTCATTAAAGAAAATTAAAGCTGAAGAAACAGCAACCAGCAATTTAATGTCTGATTGGTTCAGAACTTCATATTAGTATTGTGGCTTGAGTAAAATTTAAATTAAATGATATGAAATTCCTTCTTGTGAACTTAATTTTTGTAAAAATCAAATAAAAAATGCGCGCGCGCACAATATCAAAGAAAAAGTCAAAAAGTAACAAAAGTAATTTGTAAAAAATAATGAAGTTTTAGGTTAGTTGCATGTAGTCAAGGAGTACAACCCAAGACAGACATACTCCCAGGCCTTCCAATAGCTTAAGGACTTTTCTTTTCGTTTATTTTCTTTGTTTTTTGTTTTGTTTTGTGCCATTTTCTTCCAATAGCTTTAGGATTGATACATTGTATTTAGCTCTACTCCCCCCTAAACTTTTAATTATAATCGTTGTTAGTGAATGATTCTAATTAAACAAAAACCATATGTGTGTGACACATACAAATATTATGTATAAATAGTACTTGACCTTTCTAGATTTGTTTAATGTTTTAAGTGTCCTGATCTCTTCCCAAACAGTCACATGCATCACCCTTCATTGTCTATACATACCCTGAGAGAAGAAGCTCTCTCAATCATGAACTTAGATGCCTCTCTATTATTTAAATCAAATTTGAGGGGTTATCAAAATGATAAGAGAGAGAAAGATAGGCCAGGGAAACTAATCATGGCCCTTAACTAATTAATAGGATGCCTCCCTCTGAAACTCATTAAAAATTCTTCAGATCATCAAATATGGTTTCTATCACAGTTGGCTAAAGACTCTTCTTTGTCTGGTGAATTAATCATATGTGTGTGTGTATATATATATATCTCTCTCTCTCCAGATGGCGGTATTATTGTGAAGAAAATAAATAAAATATGGGCAAGAGGAGATGCTTGAAAGATGTTTGAAGAATCCGACAATTTAATAAAACCTGATGATTCTACAAGTTGTTGTAGTTATTTCAGTTAGTAACCACCTGTCTCGGGCTAATCAGATCATCAGAGTAGGGGGGGGGGGATAACTGGAAAGCTAGTACATAGGTCCCGTTTATTTACCAAAAACTAAAAAAAATAAAATAAAATATATTAAAAAAATAAAAATTAAAATAAGATGATCAAAGAGAATATCTGAGTAAATTTATAAAAAGGAAAGGTAATTTAGTTTATGAGATAAATAATCATGATTAATGAAATTTTTAAAGGATACGATGATTCCTACACTTATAATATATATTAATGAGTTTTATCATGTTTATTATAAATAAATGGTGATTTAATTCATTTTTTATTTTGATTTTTTCAATCAATGCCAATCTAGTAACCAAACAAGACCATGGGCTTCATTTTATTTAGGAAAATGGATTTATGAGTTTATAAGAAGACAATATGAAAAATGAAAATTTGAAATTACAAAAGAACTTTATGAGATGGAACTAATAGTTTTACTTGACAGAATAGTTGGTTTACTAGTTGAGATACAAAAACAGACACGGATATAATGCTGATCATTATTTGAATATCTACTATATTTCAGAGTCGTTGTGCTTATTAGCTGCATTTATAATTTGTGAGTGTGCCCCACCCCCCCCCCCCCCAAAAAAAAAAAGGAAGGTGGCTTGTGTGGTGTAATTGTGATAGTGTGTATGAGATGATGGCATTTGATTTGGATTAGGGTGCATGAGAATGTTACAAAAGTCGTAATATGGAATACAAAGATAAATTCTTAGATGTATTTAGTTGAAAAAAATAATTCAACTAATATTATTAGGTGTTTGGATCAATTGATTAGGGGGTTGATCTCTTTTAACAAGAGGTCTAGCGTTTGAGTCTTAAATAAATGGTTTAGGTTAAAGATTTTGGATATAAGAGAGAAATAAAAAAGAAGTTAGACTAATCAATCATAAAAGAACAAGAATAGGCTCCTTTATCATGCTTAACGTTCAGCTCAGCTGTTTGGGAAATTAACGTATCCACTCCCCAAAGATAACCTTGTTTCCGGCAAATCAGCAAAAATTCGGTGCATCTCAAGTCCTATGCAAACAATCAAACGGATGATAGAATCATCCAAAGAATCAACACATACAAGAAGTTATGAAATCAATGTGGTGAAAAAAACCTAAGTGGGCATTTACAACTCTTTTTCAGATAATCGTTTTCACCAAAGTTCCAACATTCCATCTCCTTTCCTTTTCCTTTTGACTATTCTTTTGTTGCTGTCTTTCTTTAGTTCCAGCTCTTCCCTTTCCCATTTTCCCTCGACTTCCCACGGACACTCTAACTTTCTCCATCCCTACACTAACCCCAACCTTTCTTATGTTTTGCTGTGTTTGAGACTTTTCCTGATTTTTCTTCAGCAGGCTTCTTCTTAGCTTGCTTCCTTTCTTCCTACCTTCACCTCTGATTTCTTTTGGACTCTCACAATGGCTCTGTAATGGCAAGCCGTTGCTTTCTGATTCACTATTGACTTCTTTCTGATCAGCTCGATTTTGTGTCAGTTGATGGGCTGCACTTGGGAGTGGAATCAAAGAGTTTCTCCTAAGGGTATTGGCTGAAGGAATACTTGGCGTCATAGTGCAGATAGAAACTCTACCAGTTCTTTTTGGCAGTAAGGGTTTTTCAGCCATCTCTAGGATGTTTTCTTTCTCAGCATAGATATCAACGTTCATGATAGTGTTGTCAATTGTAGAAAAGGGAAGTGAGGGTTTTAAACTGTTATTCTCCGTAATTGGTCGAGTTAAATTTGCTTGGTCATCGTTAAAATTCTTCTTACTTCCTCCTGGTTGATTTGTGAGAGCTGGCCTCAAAGGTGATTTATTTTGCTCTTGGTGCTTCTCAGCTTTCTCTGTATCAACATGTTGTTGACTTGCTGCTGCTTTTCTCTCAATCAGAAGTTGCGATTCCAGTTCCTTGATCTTCAGAATGAGCAAAAAATAAAGCTAAGCCATCTTGAAGTTAATTAAAAAAAAAAAAATCCAATTTATATGGGTAAATAAAAGATTGTGCTCCAAAATGGTACCTTATCTTGCACAAGTTTGGTTCTAGCATCTCTTTCTTTTATCTTTGATTCTAATCCATGAATTGTTTCCTCCATCTTCTTGATTTGCAAATCCTTCATCTTGACCTCTTGTTTTGTTTTCTCAGCCTAAAAAAGCAGAGTAAAATTATTGAAAATACAAAAAAAGCAGTGGGATGGGCTTGAACCATCTTCAAAAGTTAAGAGATATAAAATAAATCACACCATGAGTTTATATTTCAGGAGTTCAATAGTGTCCAATTGCCTCTTTGCTGGGCCCAACTCTATTCCTCTCACTCTGCTGGCAAAGTTCAGAGAGCAAATTGTCTCACTCAAATCATTTTCATTTGGGCTGATCTGTACAAACATGAGTGTCTTGGAATCTCCTCCTAAAAAAGCAAGTTTGCTCATCACATGTAGAGGATAATCAAATATACAATACAAGCAAGCCATAACAAAGGTTTTTTTCAGAGAAACTAAAAAAAGAAATACCTAAAGAGTCTTGCAGCAGGTGCGTGAGCTTGGAATTTCTGCACCATGAAGAACAATAGAAACATCAGATGCAGATAATGGATGAAAGAAGTTGTTTATTTCAGCATTTGATTCAGGAAACAAAGGTGAATATTTATATCAATAACCTGAAAGGGATATGCTGGCTTTTTGTTGCAAGGGCTGATATAACATCGCCTAATGCAGAGAGAGACCTGTTAATATTTTGAGTCTCCTTTAGCCGTTCACCTTGCACTTCTGTCTTCGCCACTCGCTCACTTCCTGCAAGGTCTACTAACCATAGCTTGCTTCTTGTGCATTCACCATTTAGCAGATTTTCCCCCTTGACCATGACGCAGTGAATGCTGCATGAACCAATAAAAAAAATCTCCTGATAAGCAAATATCCCTTCAATCATTATATTTAGAAACACGAGTAAACTATGGCCACCACCCTAAGGATTTAAAACATATACTTGTTAGAGATTATAGTAAAATTAATTGGAGTTCATAAACAAATCTTATACCTATGTACTATTCCTCAAGCAGACTTATAATAGCCTAATTCAGTGCAGTACTAATCAAAAAAGGCTAAAATGAAAGCTCACAAGGGAGTTGGAGCAGTTTCTTAAAATTAGAAGGCGTATGAGGGTAGGTTTTATAAACCAAGGGGTTGTATGATAAAATCAAAACTAGAGCAGGCGTGAGTGTGGATTTTGATAACCTCACAGAATACAAAGGTAATTTACTCAAAAGGAATACGAATCCAAGAGAAGGGTTTAAAGTATAAAGCGGACCAGTGGGAACGGCTGCTATGCTCATTGGATGCGGTTGAGCTAACAGCTCTTGCATTACTACCAGATTGCAGGACATCCCAAACTTCAGTCATATTGTTGACATGTGCCTCAACCAACCCTGGCACGTGGTTCACTCCTTCACCTGCTTGCCTTATTTCAAGCCTGCAATTAACCAAATTTCAGGGAACAAATCGTTATAGATCATAAACCCATACGTGTGATACGAGATATAGCTCCAATTCATATTTCTTTCCTGATTTGTGATAAAAAAGTCCAAAGTGGTCCTGTTCTTTAGAGCTTACCTTTTGTTAGATGTTCCTGGCTGATTTCCTGACCCCAGCAAATCTCTAATTTGCTCATTGTACACTTCTAAGACACTTACAGAGACTTCATAGTGATAGAGTTTCTGTCTCGCCTTGATTATGTTGAACATTTTCTCCAGGGTCCTGAAATTAACACCAGGAGCCTCTTTTGTACCCTCCATTGTGAAGGTTTTTCCTGTCCCAGTCTGACCATAGGCAAATATGCACACATTGAACCCGTCTAGAACTGATGTTGCAAATGGTGCCATCTCTTCAAAAATGTCAGCTACATGTCCAAGAACAGAAAACTATAGAAGTGGCTCAAATGAGCATTTGATTTCAATATCAGAATACTGACATGTTACACATGGAAATTATGGCATTGATTCATGATTACAATACCTTGATCAGCTTGGGGTCCAAAAACAGAATCAAACTTATATGTCTTTCTAGGAGTCCCATTTGACATTACAGTAAGCTCACCATCTTTAGCAGATTCAAAACCTACGGCCATAGTAAGTCCTGCTGTTATCTCCTTCGCATTTAGAGGCCTACAGCGGCAAAAGACTCTGATGTTTCCTGTGAGGAAGAAATGTTGCAAAATCATTTCAAATATTCGTATCTCACATAATTCTTATTGTACAAGATCAAGCGCAAACAGCTTACCTCTCAACTCCAAAACCTTATTATAAAGTTCTTTTTGCTGCTTAGCCCCTTCAAGGTATTTAGACTTGAGGTCTTCATGTGACTCCTGTTGCCCATTTACTTTAAGGAGAGGTATAAGGATTGTGGAAATGTAAAACCCTAGCTAACATTTAAGATGGATACGATATCTTGATGTCTACTTACTCTTGGACATGATAATTAGCTCCACTTCACTCATATCTGCAAGATACTTCTTATATGTTTCTATTTCCTCTGAAAGCTTGAGGTACTCCACTTTCATAACCTGCTCAACAAAATTGATTAACACATTGCAGATATATCCTTCGTCCTCTAAATTTGTCAGTAAGCATCTATCATTACCTTGACTTTTTCAATCAAGTCTTTCAGTGCTGAAAACCACCTGCCTTTCTCCTTCACTTGCCCCTCAACAGCAAAAGCTGCAGAGCGGGGAAAAGAATATGTCAGACGAATAATATGAAAACTTAGGTACAGTTGCTAAGATTTTGCAATTAGATTCTAAAATAAAAGAATCACAAGAGGAGAAGAAAACACTTTCACATATTATATTTTTGTAAAAGAACCTCATAGAGAACACTTGAAAAGGTACGCGCATACCCAAAGATCCAACATGCATGGACTTGCGCATGAGCTCGTTTTGAAGCTCGTTGAAGGACTTCCAAGCTTCTTGGCATTCCCTATCCTTCTGTTGATTCTCTCTCTTCAGCTCCTTCAAAACCCTTCTTGTTTCAGCCAGATCCTTTTTCTGCCTATCAAACTCTCTTTTCAGCTTCAGAAACTCAAAATCTCCAGCATCCTGCCAGAAGAGGAAAGTAAAAATATAGCGCACACTAAAATAGTCTAACTTCGCTGCAAGTATAAGAAAGTAGTCGCTTTCTAGAAAGCATACATTTGAAGGCTCTAATTCAACTTGTTGGGACCCTTCAATATCTTCTAACAACTCATTTTCTCCTGAAGTAACAAAATATTTTGTCACTAAAGCAGATTTCGATCAAGATCACCAAAATCTCATCTTACAGAGCAAGAATAAGCAAATGTCAAACTAACCAGAAGGGTCCACTTGTGATGGCTCATACTGTATTATAGGGGGAGGAGGAAGCTCAAAAGAGGCTTCAGGAGATAGTTCTTTAAAAGTTTGACAAAAATTAGAAAATTTAACAGTCGGGGTCTTCTGGTTATTAGCAATCCCAGAAACAGATTCATTGATTCCATTCTCCAAAGAAAGCTCCATAGCCACTTTCTGATGAATTTTGTTCTCCAACAACTCAGGGGACTCCACATAGCTGTCACTGGTAATATCTGGTGAAGCAGCACAAATGACCAAATCAGGGGGCGTTAAAGAATTCCCCAAAATGGATTGCCCTGAAAATTCATCCCCGATTCTATCAGTTTCTCGAGAAACCATGGCTGGGAAAATCCAGGAATATTTTATTATCATTCCTTAATATGTTTTTTTTTTTAGCCAGACCTCCTGCTTTATTAGAGGAGTAATATGCAGCTTCTCCAAAAGTCGAGAACCTTATGCGGATTAGAAGCTCTCTTACCATCAAGCACATTGTTTACAACTGGGTCGGCGAAGTGGACACCATTTGCTCTAAAGCCTCGTCTTTTACGAGTAAATTCTACATTATAATATCGAAACCTTAAATATCCAAGTTTTGAAGTCGCTGAAAACAAGAAATGATTCTACTTCGGATCACATTGACAATGCTTACCGTCACTTTGGCTGCCATGAACTTCGCTCTCAAGATCTGCCATCGTTGAACTTCCCAATGCTTAATGATTCTTTCAGAGACGTCTGAGAATCAACAAAGGAAACAACATATATACCGAAGGGTATGAAGCAGGAAGCTTCAGATCGAGTTGTCACTTCAATAGTGAATACGTTTAAATGGGGAGGAGGTGGAGGAGGCAGAGACCTTTACAATTAGAACATTTTGGTATAGAAGAGACGTCAGTGAGAAATGGATCAAGGCCAGTCTCACAGTCACAGGAGATGCCATTGATAATCATTAATTGATAAAATAGTGAGCGTTTGAAACTTTTTTTTGGATATACTGAGCGTTTGAAACTTTGAATTGAGTGATAATAACACAAAATTGGCACGCGAGGAACGATGAAATATATTATCGGCAAACAAAAACCAATAATAAGTCAGCAGTCAAGAAAAAATAAATTTATGTTATTATTTTAATAATAAATAATTTTTTATTAATTCATATTTTGTAAATAATATTTTTCAATAGTTCTTGCATGTGAATTCCTAAACAATCCCGAAAAAGGAATGTTTGGAATTTGGATAACACCGAACTGTTCTTGTACTGTGAAGGTGATAAAAGCTTACTTAAAAGCTGGGAAGTTGCCGGTGAGTCAAGATTCAATTTATCTAGATTTTTTTTCTTACTAAAAAAAGTTGGAGGATATGGACTAACAAAGTTTTGAAAAAGTTTATGAACTAAAATTTAAATTAGGATTGAAGTAAAAATTTCTGGCCTTTCAAAAGAATTTTTGAACTAACCATGGTTATCAATTTGTTTTAGATTTTTAAGAATTTAATATTTTAAAATGTAGGATCAATTTATTTTTTATCTTTAGAATTTAAAAATAATACTTAATTATATTTTAAATTTTTTCTTTTAAACTGTAATTTAAATTTTTAATTTTTTTAAAAAAATTAACTTTGAAATAAATAAATAAATAAATATATCTATATATATATATATATCATAAAACTCATGTCGTTTTCGGTCCTGATACATTTAAATTTACTTTAAAATTTTATCATCCAAAAAAGATTTTGTTTGTCAAACTAATTTTTTTAAAAAAAATATTTAAACATAAATTACATTGAAGTCTTTAATTTTTTTAGCCTAATTTCACTTTGCAAACTTCATTTTCTTTTAACTTTAAGTTTTACAACTTTTAATTCAATAGTAATACCTAAAAGAGCAAAGCGAGGTTGTTGCTTTTTTGATTCGTTGTAAAAGAGATAGATCATAGATGAAAGTTTTCACTTTAATGGCGTTAATTTCGTCAGATACATAATCTAATCAAATTCGCTTGGTATGGATAAATTTGACCGTTGCGATTTGACTTTCGAAATTTTAAATATTTCAAGCGGTTTTGCCGTTTTAGTTTTGAATCGCTGACCATGCAACACATGCAATTTGCCATGCTTTGTAAAAGATTTTCCAGGCCATTTTCGGTACTTCCACACACATTCGAGCTGGAGTTTCTGATTTCAACTTTGGATTCTGAATTTGGATCCACCAAAGTAAATATATACGGTTAAAAAAACAGTAAAAAAAAAAGAAAGAATTGAAAAACCCTCATGCTGGTTAATTTTTTTTTCCCCAAAAGGATATCAAATTCAGTTTTCTGGAGTTTGATGAAACAAGGGTCGGCCATTCCGTTTAGAAATGTTTGGTTTTTAATTTATATTTCCAAAAGTCCATTTGAAAAAAGCAAGTATTTTTCAGATTTTACAAAAAAAAAATATCTCAAATATAGTTAAATAGAATTTTGAGGGAAATCCAAGTAGGTCTTTATATTTTTTAAGATTTGGCTTTAAAAAAAAAAAGGAGATTTTTACATAAAAGAGTTTTAAAATCCAACCCATGATTATAAGCCTTTTAAAAAGGGCATAAGCTAGAGTTAATTTTTCTATGTCATGCATTTTATTTTCTGTTTTTTAAGCATGTGGTTGAAATTGTTGTTAAAATTACAAAATAATATGGTTGAAATTATTTGATTTATTTTAATTTTTGAATTAATATATAAAAATGACACAGTTTTTTAAATTATGTATTAATATAATTAAATTTTTTTAAATAAAAACATTAGTGCCTACATTGAATTTTTGGGTAATTCAATGTATTATGAACAAAATTGCATTTAGTACTTTTTAGTTAAAATTTTAACCGTTTAAAATTATTTATTTATTTAATATTATAATAATAATAGTTTTGTAATATTTATTTTTTATTATTATAATCAATTTGTGGTTTTTGGAAGGGAAAAAGTAAAAAACCTGTGAAATGACGCTGAGTTGAGCGATGAGCACGAAAGCACCGAAACTGTATCCTACTTTTCCAATCAAAATCCCGAATCCTTTAGCATAAAATTTTGGAGAATTGATTATACATTCTTGAATTATTTTCAATTTTGGTAATATTGTAACCTAATGTATTTGATAATAAAAAGGGTTTAGGTTTAAATTACGAATTTTAAACTAGATCAATTAAAATTTTAATATATGGCGATTAGATAAAATTCACTATTGTAATTCAAATTTTCTTATGTAGATATTTTACTGTAACTCTCTATTTATTTATTTCTAAAAAAATTAGTTATTTAGTCCATGTAGTTTTGATATAATTATAATTCAATTCTTAAATTTTGACTCGTTGAAACTCAATTTTTATAGTTTTAACTTAGTCCCTAAATTTTATCTTTTGTAATTCAATCCCTATAATTTCAATCATTCAAATATTGATCCCGTGTTTTAAAATAAAATTATAAATATTAAAAATATTTTAAACTTCTAATATTTATTATAATCTATGTAAAGATTAAAAGAGTTTAGTAATTTAAAATATTATTCAAAAGTTTTAACATAATTTTAGTCTTTATAATTTTATTTTTTAAAATATAGGGATCAATATTTTAATAACTAAAAATATAAGAATTAAGTTGTAAGATTCAAATTTTAGGAATTGAGTTATAAATGAGTCAAAATTTAAGAATTGAGTTACAATTGAATCAAAATTATAAATATCAATGATTAATTTCTTTTTATTTTATGATATCTTTGTAAATTTCTGTATTTTTATGACATTCTTTCTTATCTACGCCATAAAATCTCATAAAATATATTTTTTAAAAAACACAAGTGATTTTTTTCCAAATATATACTCCCTCCGTTTAAAAATATAAGGTATTTTTTGAGAAGTTGAATGTTAAAAAATGTAAGGTATTTTTAATCTTTTAAGGTGTAATCATTATCTTTTCTTAATAACCCTATTGATAATGACTTTATATTTATTGTAAGATATTTAATAGGAGTAAATATAAAAAGATAGGATTAGTTTAAAAATAGATAACTACTTTATTGAGAGTGAGATTCAATTAAAAATACCTTATATTTTTTAACAAAAAGAGTGTATATATATATATAAGTATGAACAAAATGAGCCTTATTTTTTCTATCTACTTAGCCCTTTAAAGTCGAGTTTAGGCTCAGGGTTAACCATTTTAGTTCTATATTTTTCTTCCTGTTTTTTCTATAAGCATGTGAATTTAGTTGAAATTGTTGATATTACAAAGTAACATGGTTGAAATAATTTGATTTATTTTAATGCTTAAATTAATATTCCCTTCGTTAAAAAATATAAAGCTTTTTTAATCGAATTTCACCCCTCAATAAATAATTATTTACTTTTTAACAAACCTTATCTTTTTATATTTACCCTTCTGTTAAATATCCTATAATAAATATAAAGTCATTTTCAATAGGGGCACTTAAAAAAAAAAGCAATGATTATATCTTAAAAAATTAAAAATGCCTTACATATTTTAACATCAATCCCTTAAAAAATGCCTTGCAATTTTGAACGGAAGGAGTATATGAAAATGACATAATTTTTTTAAAATGTGTATTATTATCATTAAAAATTTAAATAAAACACTAGTGCAAGTTTTTGAACCTGACCTTGAGCTCTATCAATGAGAGTTAAACTTAAAAAACATGATCTATTTTAAATGTGAAAGCTTGTGAGCTTAAATTCTGACAAGCCAGGCAAATCCATGCTTACAGTTCCAATAGAGAGATCACGGACAGTTATTTCAACTCTATACAAAATTGTTGATGCACGTATTCGGATCCTATATTCTTAGAACCGCAAGAACCCATATTGGGTAGTTCGTGATCAGCCGCCATATTTTCTATTCTCGTTGATTAAATGATGCGAAAAAAATGACACGCAAATACTTACAACCGAATCCAAACGTCTAAGTACAATTGTGAATTGTCCACACTACTGATAAAAAAATGCATCAATTTCAGAGCATCATGAAAAAGTTACTCAAAAATTGGATAATTTTTCTTTCTCAACGCATGTGGTTGTTACAACTTACAAGTACATAAGAAGTCCAAGCTGGTGAGCTTGTGACTTGAAGATAAGTTCCCTCTTTACAAGAAACTGAATCTAATGTACGCTGTTATATACACTGTTATTGTATGCAACAATGGGAATGACTATGATTCTACGAACTCAGATCTTCAGCAGCCCGCCTTGAATATAAATATGTTGACGTGGGACTTGGGTACCTCTTCACTCACCGATGTCAAGCACCATTACAAACACAGAACAATGGTTTTCAATAGAACGCCAAACCCACTCCGTCCAAAACATATGAGCCAATCTTATGGAAGCATGTGATTCTACAACTCTACTCCTACTTCTTCCACTGCAGCCGCCATTGAAGCTGAAGCCTCTTCAAGGGTCCGCTTCTTCTGAACGGTGTTGAACGCCTCGACAATATCTCCATCTTCCCAGTCATCGTAATCTTCTAAACCAATCCCACACTCTAGACCAGCATTTACCTATTCAGAAGGAAGAAAGATGTGAACGGGCATTCAGGTTGTAGCTATATGAACATGGTGGATAATGAATGAACATACCCTATAAAATATAGAGTGGGTAAGGCATTAAAAAACTCTTATCAGAATAAACACACAAACATTCACAAACAGTCATGCTACAAAGGAATTACTATTTCAAAAGGGAAAAATCTAACAAGGAGTAAAAAACTACTCATGAAACAAACATATCTAAGTCACCATGTGATAAAAAACGTAGTTTTAATCAACTTTGTTTAAGGCTCGGTCCTCTGTTATTTTTTCGGTTACTTCAAAGGAACATCCACCTGACATTTAGACCACAGAGCATATGACTGAGTACATGAAATTATAAGGTAAATTTGAGATTCATTATTTACGATATTGGATACAAAGTCTTTTATGGGACCATTACCCTTGTTTCATAGCAGCTAAAAAAACTCCAATATCTACAATGAGAGTTCATATGATGCACTTGAAATGGCACATAACAATAAGATGACTCTCAACGTACATCATGATGCAAGTCCATAATTGCACTATGCCCATCATTCCTTGCTATACGGATATATTATTTCAATAATACCAGTCAGGATTGGAGTCGAATTTTTAACATCTGTTCCAGAAAGAAATACTTGAAAATAAAAAAAAAATCCTTAATTGGTTGTAACTTGACATAAAATGAACAAATACATATACAGACAACAAAGCTGCAATTCTAGCCCGTAATTACCTAAAGTTAGCTTCAGAAAACAAGCATTCTTAATGGGCAAAGGATAATAAATTTAAAATTAATTTATCATCCTCAAAAGGAAAGCATGATCATACGCCATTTTTTGGCCAACTGAATCATACGCCATTAGCATGAGCTAAAAGCATCTGGAGATGGCTTGAGGACATTCAACAGTTTGTCTAAATTCCCACAGGATATCTGAACTTAGAAACACTTGGTAATTCAGGGCATCTGATAAGAGGCTTCACATATTTTAATGGCTTCCAGTAGGTGCATCAATGCAAGCTTCTATAAAAAAGACAGGCTTCCAATAAGCGTATTAATGGCCAAGTAGTACTAAATGTAGAATAATACCTCTTTCACAGTCTCCTTTACTCGTCTCAAAGAATCAACAACACCTATGTGAACAACCTTTCCCTTACGAATGACCCGAATGCCACAGTCTTTTAATACTTTTCCCTCTGTAACCATGCATCCAGCAACACGACCACTACCACTGCTGAACGTGGCCCTTACTTCAGCTAAGCCAATCATTACTTGTTCCTACAAAAGAAAGAAGTTAGTCTTGCTGTTGATCCTTCATGAACCTTAAAGCTCTCAATAAGAGTAAAGAAAGCAGTACAAGTTAAATTATCTAAGATGTCAATAAATTTATTTTTAACAAGTTCCATGGTACATAAATAAATAAAAACCCATCATGATTTATACTCAAATAATTCTCAATTAAAAGAGTGCGGAAGCATGTACAATTGACATTTTGGCCACACATCGTAAAAGTATGTAGATTACCTCGACAGGCTCCAGTAATCCCTCCATCGCACTCCTCACGTCATCAATTAGGTCATATATAACTTTATATGATCTAATCTCAACAAGCTTATTTCTGCATAGCTTTTTACAGAACCTGGTACTCTGATATTAAATCCCAAAATAATAGCTTTGCTTGCAACTGCAAGGTCAACATCACTGGTGCTAACATCACCTGTTGCTTCCAACAAAAACTTCAATGTCACATTATCTTGTGGTAGCACCCGCAGGGCTTGTCTGATTGCTTCAATGGATCCCTAACCAAGATAAGAAAAAGAAATTATAATTGCTGGTAGAAAAACAACCACACAGATCATTCATGAAAAATATCAAACCTGTAGACTTTTAGCACGAAAAGACAACTTGCACAATTACCCATTGTGGTCAATATTAGGCTTATAACAAATGTACATTTTTTTTTTTTTTGAATATGAACAAGCCATACTCATTCAGCAGAATGTAAAAACATTACAAGAGACTAAAACAACAAAAAATAAAAGCAGACCAACCACCCCTAATCAACTAATGGGTGGGGTATCATGTACATTTTCAAAATAGATAACAAAGAATTTGATGCATTATTGACAAGTTATTTAACTCGTAGATGGTTAAAGTGAAAGTTTTCTTGGAGAGGCAATGATCAAAATACAAATAGGCACACTTAAAAATATGCAAATATTAAGTGTCTTAAATGAATATCAACAAATCAGTACTGAAATGTCCTTTTCAAATACAATTTTTAGGAGGGTTCACATCCACAATCCTGCCCAATTTACCAGTATTAAGAGCATACAAGGAGCCAGACTGTAGCAATTTTAGACCATCTCTTACAAATAGCAACATCAGGGTGCTACACTACAGGCACATATATGCTTTGGTTTGCAGAGATATGCGTTTGCAGTCCTCTTGGTGTAAGGATGGATGCGATTAGCACATGCAGAAACCATCAAAGGTAATTCCACTAGGCACACAAACTGTGCTCTTATTTGGTTAATCCAACAATTTCAGATGAAAATTCATTGCATGAACAAAGTGGTTTCCTTCAAATTCTAGTAACATGCAGTAGTGAAGCATACCTGAAGATCAACCTTCAGGATAATGTTTAGCTGGTGTAAGTCTAATCCGGAAAGCTTTCCTGCTGAAACTGCAGAAGCTAAAGAAGAAAGGGTGACCTTGCCATCCCCTGCCTTAGCTGAAATACGCTCGTTTCTTAATGATGCAGCACGGGACTCTGCCTTTTCACGGGCAGCATCAAGGGAGTCAACAATCTCAAATTCATCACCAGCAATCGGAACGTTATTCAAGCCAATAATCTACATAAGAGTATAGAACAATTAGACTGCTTCCTAATAAAACTTATCATGGTAAGCTTCAAGACCATTTTGGGGAGAACTGAGGTAAACTTAAAAAATAAGAAGAACAAAAGCTCAACTATTGAAGATGGATAACACCAGTATATCAATCTTCTAAAGAAAAGACATGCAGGGAGATTCAAGAGGTACTGCTAAGCTGTCAAGTTCTCAGGCCTTCAACAAATGTTAAATGTAGACTTTGTAAACAACCTTGGAGTCCAAAATGGTTAATGAATGCAAATTTAGGTAGCAATGTGTTCCTTAACATTGGAAGTAACCAAATGAGTAAAGTGAGCTAGAGAACAAAATTATCTGGAAGAGACAAGCAGAATCACAAAAGATAAGAGGATGCAGAAGAAACACAAATTTAATGGGAGCATGCCCTGGATTTACAGACATACTAAGTAAGAACAAAGCAGAACATCATCCACAGATTTACACGGGTGTACTTCCAATTTGCAATTGAGAATGAGAAGTCATATTAACTAGTATGGCATTAAACAATTGAGTTTACATCAAATACTCAATGAGGAAGAAAAAATCTGCACTGGCCTCCACCATTTAAGTTAATTGACAAGCTTATGCTACATACATGCATTGATTCAGCTCATGGGCATGACAAAAGTGCAAAAATGTGAATCAGAAAGATCATATAATTTAATGAGCTGCAACATTGGTAAGGTACCAAGTTTGCAATCAAGCTTAAGATGAGTGGTAGCAGATCGAATTTTCTCCTCATTTTATTTTTCTCCTCACTGTTGTATGGTGAATCCTTTATTTTGACAAGCAGTTATCCAATGAGGTACATTTCTCAGCAAACTCAAACGTTTAAAAAAATTTATTAACATGACAATGACAGTAAAGATATCAAAATAATAATATTTATTTTTAAATAAACAGACTTCATGGTATTTTTCCTATGGGAAAGTAGAAAAAGAATTTGAGTTAACAAACCTGTACAGGTATAGATGGTGTAGCTGAATCAACACGTTTTCCACCATCATCAAATAAAGCCCGCACCTGATAGAGGATTGCAAGTAAAAAAAAGGATGATTAAAATTGCAGAAGTGAGCACATCAGATAGCTCATGTTAGAATAACTTGAGATTTTTTTTATTATTAAAAACAAGTTAAGGTCTTTATAGCATTGAATTTTAAAATTTACACATCTAACAACCTTTCCAAAAGCTTCTCCGCACACTACTACATCTCCCCTTTTAAGGGTGCCATTCTGCACGATAAAAGTAGCAAATGGTCCCTTTGATTTATCCAGACCAGCCTCAATGACTGTGCCCTTTGCACTTCTATCAGGATTTGCTTTCAGCTCTTGCAACTAAACCATCAATTCCACAGGTCAGAATAGAAACGAGAAGATGGAGAAAGCCATAAAATGTACAAAATTTAACCAAAATCCTACTTCCAAAGAGACACCAACACATAATCCGGGCATCTACATGATGAAGGGTGCCTAAGAATGCTAGGATATCTGAAACTACTTTTTTCTTTCTTTATCTGCACCTTTTCTTCATAAGATGTTCAACATGAGAATATTTTAACCACAAATTTTAAGAAGTTTTGATACGAGTAACAAACCAGAGAATCATGATCAATATTCATTTATATGCAACAGAGGTTCTTAGTTGAGTTTAATAATCATCAAATGGTTTGCTTTTTAGCAATTGATATCATTTTTATAGATATATTTTGCAAAATAATCAGCTAAAGAGAGATAGGGATTGTAATTTCCGGTGACTTCATGATCACATTAAACAAGCAACTTGCCTCAGCAACAAGCATCACAGTTTCCAAAAGATCATCTACATTCTCCCCTTTAAGAGCACTTATCTGTTGGAAAAAGGTAAAGGAAACAAAATATTAGCAGCTAAAAGTTACAAAAGCATAAAGAAATGACGAGGGCAATGCCAATTTTTAATAATTATCACACAAAAGTGTGATAGACCTTCATGAAAGCTTAAAAATTTTGCTCAATGTGTATTTTGACAAGATGTCAAAATTAGTGGGCCTATACCTTGTCCATACTTCAAGCTAAAATTGTGTGAGATGGTTAGTTAGACTCCTAAACAAACTACTCACAACTTTCACTTAGCAAGTTTAGTTTATAAGTTTAAATGGGTTTTGCCACCAGCTAATGACAATATAAACCTGAACCATTGGGATGTCGCCACCCCAGTCTTCAGGCATTAGACCAATTGAAGACAGCTCTTGCATAACTCGGTCTGGATTTGCACCATCTTTATCTATCTGGTTCAAACATAAAAATTTTACATCAGCAATTCATGAAGACATAACCAAGTGAATACTTAAAAAAAATGTCTTCTCATATCAAGACAAATCATGTTGGCCTGCCTTGTTTATAGCAATAATTATGGGTACTCCAGCTGCTTTGGCATGAGCAATGGCTTCATTTGTTTGAGGACGAATTCCATCATCAGCAGCAACAACTATAATAGCAATATCTGTTACACTTGCTCCTCGAGCTCTCATTGCCCCAAATGCCTACATGAGGGTGCTTAGTAGATGTCATCTAAAGGAAAGAAAAGCGAAATGCATGGTACAGGCATATAGATAATGGTTGATCTGAAACCACCAGAATAGTGTAATTTAGCATGTCATGATACATATTACAGGGAACAAATTATGATCCAGCAATTAGAAATATAAAAGTCGTTTTGCATATTTGGAGAAGAAAATCAGAATTGAAAAAGTTCTAGTTGACAGTATAGTTACCTCATGCCCAGGCGTGTCAAGGAAAACACAAGGCAGCAATTTGCCATCAACAGGAACTTGAACTTTATATGCCCCAATCCCTTGTGTAATCCCACCGGCTTCTGAAGCAACTAACTGTTAAGAACAAGCACTTAGGCTAAAGGTGAATGTATGTGTGACATAAATTTCAGAAGATGAAGCTCTGGCAATAATGTAGATTTCATCACATTCATAAGCTAACAATCTCATGGACCAAAACATAAGCACAGCAAAAAGAAACCGCATAGAAAAATCCAGAAAAATAGATTAGTAAAACAGCATGGCTTGGATGTACTATTAGGCCGTGACACACACACAAACATAGATGATTGCTAGAGATCATCAATAGGTGAAAGTAAAACAAATTATTAATCACATAACAATTTTGTGACAATAGCATTAGACATCAGAAGAAAGTATTTTCACAATTTCACAAGCATCTGAGAATTGATGATTGTGTTAGCCACAACAAATTACTTTGTAATTCTTATATATGAACATATATAGGTAATATAAATGTTATAGTTAGATATATGTTAGAATCACAATACAAAATATTGAAGACAACATTCCAATAATTACCAAAAAGTAGCCCCTTCATCAGACCTACATACTCTAAAATGGGATAGTTACTATTTTGCATCTTACTTCAATGCCCAGCAAGTTCATTTTAAACTTGAAGTTTTGAGTTGAGGCTCCCCTTTTCCACTTGCTCAAAACTATCCAAGACTAGTCACGTGCAAAACTGTAAAATTTCTTGCAACTTAGTCCTTGAAACTTTACATTTTATTCCATGTTCCCTTTTGATCTTAATCTTTGGACCTTCACGCTCATATTGGGGACTTTAAATATTTTAAAGCTGTTCTACAGATTTTAAGGGAGGTTTTTGCAACACATGTTCAATTTTAAGGGAACTAAGAGTTGTTTTAGGAACAATAGGGTTATCAAGTGTAACTCAATCAAACATCAAGAGAGGTTAGAGCAATTTACTAAATAGTAATCTACTAGATAATTTATCAATATATGTGCCATTTTACTATCCTAATGATATCATATAAAAGTTAATTGAAAATATGTGATAATTACTGATCAAGTAACCATCTACATGAACTTTATGTCTACAATTTTTCATAGAACCTGAAAGAAGCATAAAGACTATTACTAAGTTCTTGTTGTACCTTGCTCTTCCGAATATGGTCCAAAAGAGTTGTCTGCCAATCAATAACAAGTATCAGAACAACAGGAATTCAAGCAGAAAAATCAGACACAAAGGAAGAACAGGGTGATGCAACTTACCTTGCCATGATCCACATGACCCATTATAGTAATGACAGGAGGCCTATCTTTGAGTTTGCCAAGATCATCTCCATCTAGAATTTCCCTTTTCTTCACCAATCCTTCAACTTTGATAGGATCAGCATCTATTACTTCCACACCTTGCTCTTTACAAATCATCTTCACCATGTCTTTGTCCAGAGTTTGTACCCCATCTGGTTTAATCCCCTTGGAGTATAGATAACCCAGGATTTCACCATCACTGATTGCCAAGTTGTAGGCTAACTCCTCTATCAGCATACCTTTATCACTAACCTCTAGAATTTCTACTTTGACAGGAGCTGCCTCCTTGGCAGCCTGAAGTCTTGCTGCCTTTCGACTTGCTTTACTCCATTTCCTGCCTTTTCTTGCCGTTGCAGCACCAGGAATAGAGACATCAAGTTCTGATGTATCTTCATCAGGAATCTCAACGACATCATCATCTAATACTCTTCTCCTTGGTCCTCCCCCAGTTGGAGCACTTTTCTTTCGGTAATCATCTTTAAACTTTCCAGAAGGAGGGCCCTTTCCTGGTTTTTTAGGAGCTAGAACAGCTTGAGCAATGAGAGGATCAACTACTGGTTTCTTGATAGCAAACTTGTCAATCAAAATTGGCTTCCTCTCTTTATCTTTAACAGGTGTGCCAGCAGCTCCATTGTCCCTCAAAACAGGTTTCTTGATGGGCGGGGGAGCTACAGATGGTTTAGCCTGTAACAAAGGCTGAGGATTTGATGGTGGCTGAGGAGCTCGTGGAGGAGTAGGCGACTGAAATGTCACCTTTCCTCCTCCCCCTGTTTGAGATTTCCCTCCTCCATTCTTAGTTTTAGGCTTGGGTGCTTCCTTGGCAACCTTCTGCACATTAGCAACTGTGTCCCCTTTACGCCATACACTCTTCACAGTTCTAGACTGCTGGTTTGTTGTTGAGTTTGCCAGTTTATCAGTCTTAGGATTGGTGGTTGTATTAGATATTGCTGGTTTGCTTACCGGTCCATTATTTCTTTTGCCATCCAACTTTGAACTCTCCAGCTTTTCAGCCTTCTCCAACACCTCTCCAAGTGACTCAATCACCTTATTTCTCTCTTCTACATCATCTAACTTTTCATTACCAAATTCCTTAGCTTTGGAGGGATCCCACCCTTCAGAGTGTGCACCTAAAATGGAGTTACCCTTGGTCTCTGAAGACTTCAATACAGGCTTTGGAGGTGGCTTAAGGACAAAACCAGCATTATTATCTCCAGTACCTGTACTTCCTCTGTCACTGTTAGAGTCAAGGGACACTGCATTGCTTTGGTCAGGTATGAAATCCGTCGTAGTCGCTGAATATCTACAAAGGGACAAGGAGACACAATGCCATGTCCTTCTACACTTAAAGCTCCCTCCAGAAAGAGAAACTCTCCTTCCAGTAGAGTGGGTCCTTCCAGAGGAACTCACTCCAACTAGACCTCCCAAACTGACAGGGGAAGAAAGAGAAGCCATTGCTCCTTGAGCGTTGCCCACCATTATAAGCATTGAAGTCCCAACAACAATGGAATAGGCTCTAAAAATTCTCGCCCCTAGCAATTCCTCATCCTAAACCCTGTATGATTTTCAGTGAATTGGAAGAAATACCCACTAAAAGGATTCAACCTCCCCAAAAACGAAAAACCTCAGAAAACAAAACAAAAAAATAAGAGCAATATATTACTGCCCTTGATAAAATAACAAGGTTGTGATACCTCGACTTCACAGATTGAAACTTTGTCAATTAGAGGTAGAACATGTTCAGGGTACTGCAGAGTGACAACCCAAATATAGAAGCGAAGCGTGAGCGTGTAGGTGGAAGAGGGAAATGAAGAAAGAAAGGAAATAAGGATGCAATTTTGAGGCTGAGGTTGTCGGGATAAAATATGGTATGGCCCGGAGAAGCTGAAACTGGGGGGAATGTGTGGGTGGTTCTCCGCCTGTCAAATTTTGTTCAAGTGATAAGGATTTATTTTTCCTTTTCTTTTCGTGGCTTTTTACCCCCCTCTCTCGGCCGGAATTTTTCGTGGCTTCTGAGAGAGTAGCGGCCTAATTGATATCCTCCAAAATTAATTGTGAAATTTAAAATTATTTTTTTTAAAATATTATTTAAACACTCTTAATTTTTTTTAACACATGGTTACGAAAACCATGCATGAAGATTAAAATTTATTCATGCCTAATACCAAGAGACTTCTATAGTTTTGTAGGGGTTTGTCAAAAATTGTAATACCAAAGTTGTTACACATTGCTTAGTGAGCCAATAAATCAATGCATTTATTTTCTTATTTATAAACATGATCAAAAGTGATCACTCAATCTTTTATGGTGAATTTTTAATTTTTCTGATAATATCAGATAAAAGATGATTTCTAGAATAATTGTTACTAATGAGAGACAACACCTCCATCAAATTAGAATAGACGTTAACTTTTGATAATTTCTCATTTCACTAGAGGTCAAGTCCTTTGAAGATTTCTATAAGCTCTGCCGCTGTGTTAGGATGATAGCCATGAAATTTTGAAAGTCCTTTAATCCAATTTCACTTATTGTCTTAAACGATGCATTCACAAGCAACAACACCATTGATATTGATAGATCTATCCGTGTCAAGTCTAACTCATTCAAATTCAAGACTCCATTTGACATCATATGCAAACACTTTTAATTTTCTCAAAGTCTAATTGTCTTTTAAAATTTTATTTCATCTAAGCTATTTTTTTATTTGCGAATCCATTGTTAGTATGTGTTTTTCATTTTCCAGTATTTATAATTAATTTTGAAAAATTATTCAAACACCTTTTTTCATAAAACAATTATTCAAACACTTTTAATCATCAAATTAATTTTAAAAAATATTATTCAAATGTCATAAAATTTTGGCAATTAATTTTTTATGATCAATTTTTACTAATTGAAATCCAAACACACCTAACACTAAGACTATCAAGGAATGATTTCCCTGCTCATTTAAGAGATGAGATCTAGACGGTCCAAATTAAAAGTATTATTTTATATTAATTTATTAAAATAAAAAATTATAAAATAATTTTAATAAATTTTTTATTTGATTTAGATTTAATTTAGAGAGTCTAATTTAATATTAAAATTTTTATAATTGATATATATTGATTATTCATGTAAACTTTACACAATCTAACAGTTTAGATAATATCTAAACTGTACAGAGTACATTTGAAAAATTTAAAATATTTAATTATAAAATTTTGATATTAAATTGAAACCTCTAAATTAAATTTAAATTAGATTAAAAATAAAAAATATATTAAAATTATTTTATAATTTTTATAATTATTTATTTTAATAAATTAATATAGAATAATACTTTTAATATGGACAGTCCAAATTTCATCTCTTAAATTAACACCGTGTGCTTATCCAAGAGATGAGCAAGGAAATGGTTCCAGGATTGCCATTCTTCTCTCTCGTCCATAATTCAAAAGCTTGGCTAGAATTACAATTTGTAAATTTACAAATTATTAAATTAAATTATCTTAATTATTGAAATTAAGGTTGCGGTTTTTTAAATATATTTTGTATACAGAAAGACTTACATAATTTCACTTGATCAAAACGCAGGCAAATATGATTTTTCCATTGACATTTATCTTATTACTTTTTAAACATTAATTTCACATATATAATTAAGCATTAACTAAAATAAAATGAATATTTATATCAATTTACTATTTTTCCAGGAAATGTTTATATAAATTAACAAAACATAGCATCTTCGCTTGGTTTTCATACCTGAGCAACTATTTGATTGCTCTGTCTGTGTAGCTGAATTTTAATTTCTTTTTATACTTCCTCCATTTAAATATATAAGGTATTTTTAGCTGAATTTCACTTTTAATAAAGTAATTATTTGCCTTCAAATTTTTATCTTTCTATATTTACCCTTACTTAATAAAGTGTTTTATCTTAAAATAAATATAAAGTAATTTATTTAATAAAGATATTTTTAAAAAAAATTAATAAGTACACGTTGACAGATTAAAAGTGCCTTATATTTTTTAACGAAGGGATTATTCTATTCTAATTTGATTTGGCCTTAATTTTAACTTGTTTGCAGCTTATTAAGTTTTTTTTTTAAGTTGGGAGACAAATTTTAAATAACAATGAGAATGAGAAGAATAAATATTTTAATCGAATGCTATAAAAATGTGTGATATATAATTTCAATTTAATAATTTGTTAATGAGAAAATCACTCCAAAATCACCCATAATAACTGTAATTGTAATTATCCTAAAATTCCATCAATTACACAAATGCTTCTAAAGTTTGATTTAATTGTGATTGATTTTTTTTTTTTTTTACTCCGTGAAATGACAACTAGGGATTAGCTTCACAGCATCTCTTGTTCAATTTAATATATTGCCATGTGAGCTAAAATTAAAACATCATCTATAAAGAGCTATAACCTAAATGAGTTGAGTAATTAAGGAATTAGGCCCAATAAATGATCTAAATAAAGGATCAATCCAAATCTCAAGAAAATAATTTAGTCAAATAAGCACAGGTCCTTGAATCCATTAAGTCTCTAAGCCACTATTTAGATTGTTGGCATGTAAAACTATAACCTTAATGAGCCTCAAATCTCGCGAAGATATGACCATTATTCACACATATTTAGGAGGCATAGGTTGGCCATGAAATAATGGAATGCATTGCGAGTAGATCGTGCCATGTATTTTGTAGATTGTGCATAGTGAAGCCTTAATATTTTGCAAGTACGTTTCAAATTTATAGGAGCAATTGCCGCAACTTAATCATTATAAAAGGAGGATTAAATCACAGAAAAATAGCAACACACCAACCCAAATACTAAGTTATTTCACATTTATAGTTTTTAGATTCATCAAATAGTTTTTACGTATAGCTTTAATTTCATTTTCAATCTTGTAATCTTTGCGATCCTTTAGCAATAATCATATACTTGTTATTTCATTCTTGTGTATTTTTTATATTCAGATAAACCATAATAAGGGAGCTTGAAAACTTTTTATTATTAAGTGAGACTGAGCATCTTTGATACACTTGATAATATATTATTCCTCACGAACAATGGGCAAATTTTATTCAATTTCAAGCACAATTGCGCACATTCTCTTCCTTGTAAACCCATTGTTTCATTCTAGCCATTCTAACTTCACGTTCCTGACGACGAAAGTTCATTCTCGCTATTCCTATTGCTTGTGTCTTGATTTGCAAAGCAAAAGTTTGGCCTGCAAAAACCATTTTCATACTATGATCCCTTAGTGATTGATTTTGGCAAAAAAAAAAAAAAAAGAAAAAAGGTGTTCCATTTTCAGATAAGGTTGGCGCTTCGGGATTGAACCCAGGGGTGGTCAATCTCACACTTGTCTTAGTTGGCCTGGTTTCATTCGATTTTTCCCGAGCGAAAAAAATTGAGAGGAGACTTTGCTAGCCCGTTCCATTTCTAATATTATATGTGTATATATATTTTTATTTTAAAATAACTATTGAATATATTAATTATATTTCATTACATCTAATTTTTATTTTAAATTAAATTTTTTATATTAATAATTTTAATGACACAGAGTAAATAATATTAGATAATCTCTCTCCTTGCTTTATTTTTTAAATAATCACTAGCTTCGTATGTTTTAGCTAAAGAAGAAGAAGAAGAATAACTTAATATTGTAATTGATTTATTTTTTATTATTGTTTTTATAATCTTGAGATTACTTGTAATTGTTATTTTAATGTGTTATATTTTATATATACTTGACTTTAAATTATATACTTAGAGATGTAATTGATGCAATTTAAAAATTAATTTTAAATTATTTTAATTTTAAAATTAATAAATTATGTGATTTAAAATTTTCAATGTCATTATTGAGGCCTTTCTTCCATATTTTATATTTTATCGTGATGACAGAATATTTCAATCTCATCCTAATCCGTTCTAATTCCTAACAAGATAAAATAATTTTCAAAGACGAGATAAGAAAAAAAATCCAATCCTAAAATTTGTAAGATGAGATATGAAATAGGAGTATCTCAATCCTGTCTTGTCCCACAAACACTGCTAGTCTGCTACCTAGACTTGAGTTTGATTTATCGGAGTGAAACAACGGTTTTTGGATCAGGGGTAGATTTTCCGGTGGGAACGTATCATTCCTTTCGTTCCTTTTAGGGGACGCGGCAGGTCGGTGATAATCCAGTGACCACCGCGGACATGGGATGGTGATGATGAAGCTGATCCTAGGACTCAAATGGGCCTTTTCGTCATTTAACAAGAATTAATTACACCTAAGCCCGCAGGGACTTCAAAGACATTTGCGCAATTGGTGGAACTTTAAGTTAATTACGATTGTTGTAGGGGCGATGGAGTGATTATCCCTTTATCAATTTAATAACAAAAATGAACTCGCGGGAGAAGCGAGACTGAGGTATAAGAAATAATGGAGATCACAGAACCTGGGAATTAGGTCGAAGGAGTGGCGAGGGAAGGATGAAGGAAGACATTGTAAGCTCGAAGCATAACATTTCTGACGCCCATGATCCGTCACTGCCCAAATCACCCTTGTCTCCTCCAACTCCTGCTGCCAGGTTCTCTATCTCTCTAGGGCATTGCGACTCATGCTTGAAACTGAAAGCTGAAAGCCCCAATTTTCTTTTCCTTGTCTGACATTGATATAGCTACATGCAAAATTAAATTTCAATTGGTTTCCTGTTTAAGGTTTCTTGATATAATTTGCTGGTCATTAGCGCCAAATCCAAGTTTATATATTTCATTTTTGACTGAATCGAAGTTCTTGTTTTACCCTCTCATTTTTCTCTTTTGCACTTGGCAGTTCTGTGGGCGCTTCGTCACCTGCTCCCCCAGCGAATGATGGTTCACTTCTGCAATGTACTACGTTGAATGGATTGTCTAATCTCTCATGTAGGCCTTGGGAGAGAGGGGATTTACTCAGGCGTCTTTCTACGTTTAAGCTTACTGGCAAGGCTAAGGTTTGCAGCTCATTCATTTTGTCGAAGTGAAGATATTTGATTTTGAGACAAACTTAGCACTCCCTGCACAAAGCACTCTTGGTGATAAGGGAGTTGTGTGAATATCATCTTTCTTGGTGAAGTTTCAGATAGTTTCTCAAAGATTGTTGATGAGGATCCAGCTACTGCTTCTTTCATGAAACTGGTCGCATGACTGCAGACTACTGGCATTCATGATTGCATCTGGTTTTTTCTGGAAACTGTTAAATGGAGCTTCTTAAATGCGGATAGAGCGATATATGCCACTTGTGTGCAGTCTTGACTTGAGTCTTGTACAAGTACCCCACGTTAGAAATCATCACCAAAAATCCAATTTGTGTTTCTTTCCTTGTATAAAGAAAGAATTTTAGATATCACCATAGCCATTTATTCGTTATAGACCTTAATTGCATTTTCTTAAATGTCCATTTAGGTTTTTCTGAATTACTTTTTTCCGAGGTATCTATGTATAGCACCATTTCTCCACCATTCAAGAAAATGCCTCTATTAGACTCCAGGTAATTTAAGTTGTCCGAGTCCAATGCTGGTTGTCAATTTTCTTTAAACCCCCGCATTTATATAACTTGAGCTGCTGGAAGTATGTGAGATGAATTGTACGCTGTGTGCAATTGTAGAGCATACAAGTGTCCTGGAAGCCGTTAGTCTGAAAGAACAGTGGCATTGCAAAAAAGAAATGAAAACTTGGCTTCTCATTTGTTCATTGACAACTCACTTCTGCCTTTAACTTTCTATGACATCTGGCAAGGTGGACTTATGTGCTATTGTTATCTTGTTGCTTCTGCAGGTTGCAGGTTCATTGGCTTGTGCCAAGAGAGGCTGGGTGAATAGTGATGTTGATAAGATTGAGTGTGAGATATGTGGTGCAACATTAGATTTTACCTCATCAGAGTCTTCTATTAATTTTGGTGAGTTTAATGGCTAGCATTTTACCTTTGTTTACTGTTGGAGTCGACTTAAGTATATAGATATAGATATAGATATAGATTAGTCATTAGTCTCTGTCTTTATTCTAGAGACTGTTTCCACTAGCTGTTGTGAAGTCTGTGTTATTATTTGCAAACGGCAAATGTTGTATAAAACGGGTACTTTTTTGTGTGTCTGGTCATTGGTGAGCGGTGCCATCCCAACCAAAACTCCAAAATCAATCATTCTGGTCTGGTTTTATATGCCTCAATTAGACCAATCTTTAATCTAACTAAACCATCTCAATGATTCAGTGATTATGTGCAATAGCTGGACTAACTAAATTGCTAAACACCCCTTAGAATAATGTTCAATGGCCAACTATGTTGAACATAATAATGGCAGATTCTACTATTAATATGCTAATTGATATTGCTTATAATGTGTGTTTTGAGTGTAATGATTCGTCAACTGTAGTTTTTCCAAGTTAAAAACTATATTTTCTTGTTTCATTTAATTCTTTATGTCCAAATTCTTCATTCGATTGTTCTTAATTTGATTTTATTCCACTCAATTTTAGTTTTATTTCCTGAGCTTGATTATCATTTCCCATGCATTTGATGAAGCTGATTCTTCCAGTGAAGAACTTTCTGAACAGCTTGATAGAGGACACAAGGTCACTTGTCCTTGGAGAGGTAATAGCTGTCCAGAAAGCTTGGTGCATTTCCCTCCTACATCACCTTCAGCTCTAATTGGTGGTTTTAAGGATCGGTGTGATGCACTCTTGCAGTTTTACTCCCTCCCTGTTGTATCTTCATCTGCAGTTGAGCAGATACGGCTTACACATGGCCCTCAAATTGATCGCTTTCTTGCTCAATTGCAAATTCAGGCAGCTGGAGATATGGGCTATAGAGCAGAAAGTGCATCTGCTATTGGTTATTCTGGAGAACAAACTCTTCATTCATATTCTTATGTAAGATACTCTCAGATGTTGCAGTCATATTAATCATCAATCCAATTTTATAATACAGCTGATTATATGTGTGTGTGTGTGTGTGTGTGTAGCTTTTGATTTTATCATTATCTTGATCTTTAACTGAATCTTCTACTTCAATAGGCTGAAAAGCTCATAAGTCTCTGTGGATGGGAGGCGAGGTGGCTTCGTAATGTGCTTGACTGTGAAGAACAGTCTGCTGAATCTGCCAAAAACGATTACAGTTCTGATCCAGCCAAAGGATCTGCACAATATCCCATGCCAAGCAGGAGGGAATTTTCAGCATCATCTAGGAAAGATACTGGGGGCATTGAAGTAATGGGTTCAGAATTTAATTGTGAATCTACGTCACCTTTGCTAGATTGTAGCTTATGCGGGACCACAGTTAGAGTATGGGATTTCTTAACTGTTCCCCGTCCTGTACATCTTGCTCCCTGTAGTGCTGTTGCCCTTCAAATGAGCAAAAAAGTGACATCAACCCAGGGAGTGAGTGCAGCTAGTGGAATCAATGAATGGATTGCTGCTGATGGTGTTGAAAAAGAGTGTACTGATGGCCATGATGAGGCCACTACACCTGAAAAGAGGCAACTTGCATCCAATAAAAGTCTATATGAAAATCTGAAAGTGATTGATGGGTTGTCTTGTTCACAGGTGAACATAAATTTGGCATCAGATCAAGTGCCAGGTCCTAGTGAGGGAAAGTTTTTGATGCTTGGGAAACCTTCTGGAAGTGAGGTTGGTGATCGGGCAGCTTCTTATGAATCACAAGGCCCAAATGCACGTAAGCGTCAATTGGACGATGGTGGAAGTACAGTTGACAGACCACATATGCCCTGGCAACAGGCAAACAGTGCTGAGGGAATTATTGTTGATAATGAAGTCACTGGTGGTCAGCAGTATTCAGCAGGCCCTTCCAAGCGTGCCCGAGATCCTAGTTGTTTGGACAAAATCCAATTGTCATGCAGGAGAGATTCTTTTGGTGCAGTACCTAGCCATTCATTGGATACCCAAATAGAAGCAGATGCAAGCACAGGCAATCGATTTGACCCAGATGGGGATAATGTTGTTGGCATCCCATCTACTAGGGAATCCACACATGCATCTTCTATTATTGCAATGGATACTATTTATCACAGTTCAGATGATGAATCAATGGAAAGTGTTGAAAATTTCCCTCTAGATGTTAATGATATCAGTTTCAACTCTGCTGGATTAAATGAAACTTCAGAATTAAATAGCAGCTATCAAGGTGCCTGTTCCCAGCCAGTATTAGAAAGAGCAGGAGCTGATGCAGTTGTTAGTAGTTCAAATGCTTGTGGGGAAGTTTTGAATACAGACACATTAACTGCTCCTGCTCTGGATGGGCCTAGTTTTGGTATTAGTGGGGGAAGTGTTGGCATGGGTGCAAGCCATGAAGCAGAAATTCATGGGACTGATATTTCAGTCCACCGAGGTGATAGTTTAGGTGATGTAGAACCTGAGGGTGAAGTAATTGAACATCAGGGTCAGGCTGGTGAATATGTGCCTCATGGACAAATAGGTGATTTTGTGCCTGAAGAAATGAGTCAAGAAGATCCTCAAGGGGACAGTCAAGCTGTGGTTTCTCAATCCACTGCAAGGACTGACAGTGGCTCAAAAATCGTCTCAACTAAGGTTGAATCTGTTGAAAGTGGTGAGAAGACTTGTAGTAGCATGCGGATGTTGGGTAATGAAAATGGTGCACATCCATCTCTTTCTTGCAATGCTATTGTTTGTTCTGCCTATGAAGCATCCAAAGAAGAAGTTACTCAGACTGGGAAGGCATCTCTTATTGATGACAGTGCATATATTGAATCAGGCTGTCTAGTTGCGGATGATATGGGTATGTCTTAGCATCTTTCTTTCTTCAATTTCCATTGAGGGTACTTCCTCTATCACTACTCTTCACTGTGATGCACAACAATGTGAATGCTAAAATGTATTTAGTCTTCCAAATCATTGTTATTGTGACATTCTGGGTACCTTGCTACTGAAATGCATACGTAATGCTCAATCATAGAACTGTTTTTACCCATTAAAAATGTCATATATTTTGCCATATTGTTTGTCTAATATGTTGGTGTCTGCCACCAGATTCTGACAGTTTCTTATATGGCATCAACTATTGCACTTGGTTCCTTTTTTTTTTTTTTCCAGGGGCTCCTTATGGGGACAAGATTAATGGAGGTGTGGAGTTTGATCCAATTAAACAACATGATGAATATTGTCCTTGGGTGAACAGGGATGTTGCTGCCGCAGGTTGTGTTGGTCCTAGCTCTCTTTCTGGTGTGGATGCTGTAGCTCTTTGTGGGTGGCAACTGACTTTGGATGCCTTGGATTCTTTCCTGTCACTTGGAATTGTTCCTGTGCAAACTGTGGAGTCTGAGTCGGCAGCATCCTTATGCAAGGTTTGTTTCAGTTGTGTTTGCTTAGTATATTCTTATTTCCTTGCTTAATGGAAGACTGTGTTTAACCCCCTGTTTGGTTAGAGGGGAGGGAAAATTTTAATGAAATTTCTAATGAAAATTTCCCTCCCCTTTGAAGGGGCCCCAGGGGGAGGGGAGGGAAATTTTTTTGACATTTTCCCTCCCCTCGATTTTTTTTTGGGGGGTGGTTTGGTTTGGGAGGGATTCCTCCCTCCCCCTCCTCTCCATCCAAACGTAATGTCAAAGTCAATTTAATTGAGTGTTTTAAACTTTCATAGCAAGTAAGAACAAGTGACCTGAAAAATGGAAGATAAACTCTAAGATGCAAGAATTTGTGAAAGCAGTTGAAAGTTAAACTTCTATAACTTATATATGGGTTTTCTGTGATGAGATAACTAGGACATGATAAAGCCCAAGAGATCATATACTAGTGTATTTATTTCTTTGGCTTGGGCCTTTAGTTTTTTTGGGTAAAATATGATGTTGCAATTTCTTCGGATATGTAAAGATCCCTCAAGGAAGACCACTGTGTTGAAAAAAGGCTTTCTTTAGCAGCATGTTAGGCTAAGGGGTTCCATTTCTCTTTTTTCGTACGTTAATGTTCGATGCAGCCTAACTTGTAAAATTTTCACAGGGTGACCGCTTAGCTCCCAGTCAGAAATTGTTAGCAAGCAACTCCTTTGTAAGAAGCCGTGGGAAAAACTAGCGAGCATTTTGTCCGAGAATGAGTTTTATATCTTAATCCATTTCATGGCCATCTTTCTAATTTGATCTATTGTTTGTTACCCTATTCTTTCTATGTGGGTGGTAGTTTCTTTGCCATTAATTCTCTATTCGATTTTTGGATTGGTTTACTGGTTTGATAAAAGCATTATAGCATAAATTGCCTTATTGAACTATACCAGGTGATAGTGGATGATGACATGAATTGTCAATGAGACAAACGATAAGTTAACACCAAACTGATCACGTGATTAAGGTCCTGTTTGGTGCGTCACAAGGTGTTTAGCATGCCAACCGATCTTTTTTATAAAAATTATACATTTAAAATTATGCATGGTTATCACGGTATAATGTATCTGTTCAAGAGTTGGATTAGCACAAGATACCAATCTAGGTGCATTTAAAAGCTCCACCCTTCTGTGTGGCATCTTAGACATAGTGCGTTTGAATGATATATTCCAAAAATGGCTCAAAAAAAAAAACCCATTACTCTGATGTTCATTTTTTAAAGCTGTTATATATCAATAACCTTTATTACGATACTGCAAAGTACATATAAAATATTCTTTCATTAAAGTTGATATATTTTTTTTGGTACAACATTAAAGTCAATAGTTGTATTGCTTGCAACTGCAATTTAAAACCAAGTACGAAAGGACACTCTAGGTCCTTGGTGCAAGAATTTAAAATAAGACAAGCTTATTCTATAGATCGGGTGGTGTATTTGCCTTTCCTTCGAAATATTTCAAGTACACAACTTTTCATCTGTTATAAAAGCATTTATAAATTGATTTTAATGTTAAAAAAATATCAAAATAGTCTTAAGAATAAATGAAGTTTAAAACGTGTATTAAGAATAAATGTATTAAATTTATTTGCTTCATTTATTGAAAACGTAAAACCATTTTATTTTAAATTTAAGAGAGGTTTAAAAGATATTTTTGAAAGATCATAGAACATAAGACAAGCTAGAATAACAAGTAATTCTACAAAATATATATAAAAAAAATCAGGATAGTTCTGCCACAAGCAATTATAATAGTAATTACTCTCGAAATCCATTTTCATAAAGTGAAGTCGATCAATAAGAAAAGTAAACAATTAATCCTAAAATTTACTCGGCCAAAAAACGAAAATCCTAGAAATTACGAAGCGAATGGTCATCCGCCATGGTTTTCTTGTAGTGACGCTGCTTTCAAGTATGAAGGGAGAAATATGCTTTCATGTCTACTTCAAATTGAACAGCGAAGTGGTTAGTCTAGGGGAGATTTGAATTCGCTGACTTCTAGCTAGCCTCAAAGAATCTCAAGTATTCCTTCCTTGCCCCTGGAAATCTCTTTGACTCACTGAGTGAACTATGCACAGTTTATGAACATGAATCAGTTCTATTTGAATGATTAAATCACATACACCTTGCACATTGAAGAAACAAAGAAGTGTACAAGAATGAAAAGCTGAAAATGAGGACACATTTATACCTAAGTTCGGTATATTGATCATATATGGATGATTAAGAGCTTCTTCAGCTGAAATCCTTCGGTCTGGGTCCAGGCAAAGCATTTTCTATAGTACACCAAAAAAAAAAAAAAATTTGTCTAGTGAAAAGAACAGGAATTTTTGCTAGATGTAGTTTTATTGTCCATCTTTAATTTTCTTTAATCTAATACAGCTTCATCCCTTTTAAATGTGTATAATTGAAACAATATGGGCGCTTTTAGCTCAGGAAAAAAATTGTATGCACAACACTATGCTAACTGGACATTTTTCTAGTCCTTTGCTGTATATGGCTCATGACTGAATCAGATATTTCCTCCTAACACTGACAAGATTATATTTGAATCATCTATATTCATACAAGTAAATGCATATTATATATATGCAGAAAAAAACTGAATAAAAATAAATTATAACCATAGAGATGAGATTTGAACCCTCAAACATCACTTTTTGTTAATCTCACTTTTTTTTTCAAATGTATAAATACATAAATATAAAAATCTGATTTTAACTTTTAATTTGTAGAAAGACCGTCTCTTAGTCTAAGACTCTGGGATAACATATCTGATGTGGCTATGCCTATTATGACACCTTGCAAAAAAAAGGAGCTTACCAAAAGAAGATCAAGGGCTGCAAGGTCCACGTCAGGGAACTTTGCTATCAAGTTCTGCATAGCAGCAGATGCAAGGTTTAAACAGTGTAACCTCCCATGATTCTACAGCAGGACATCCAGTGTCAAGCAAAGATTTGATAGCCATACAATTCGTTCAAATTTGGGAAAGGAAGAAATTGAACTAAACCGTGCAGTCACTCCAGGCCAGGAATCTTCAGTTGGGGTACCTAACAAACTTCATATTGAAATTCCTTCGTTATTTGACTGCATCGTTAGCACCAAAACTGGCACATATGTTTCTGAAGTAGAAGTTACCAAAATATACTTCTCAATTGGTCCTCTTCGCTTATTCCGCGAAATAAAGTCTGCCCGGTTAGCATCTCTCCAAATATACAACCCACAGACCACACATCAGCCTTCTTTGAATACTCATTCAACCCGAGCAAGATTTCAGGCGCGCGGTACTCGATTGTCGTCATCTGCTAAAATCATATATGAGTCAAAACAACCAATATGTCCCAGAACTACAAAATAAAAAAGAATACACTGTTCATTACCCCAAAAAAAAAAACCAAAAATACCGTAATCATCCAATTAGTTCACAGCATTTCTGCCGATGTTGAGGATATTATTTCAAGGGAGAATCATGCTTAAGGAGAAAAATGACAAGCTATTTGCCTATTTTATTAATAAGAACCTTAAATTTCTAAATTTATTTTGTAGAACCAAGGTCCTTCTGTGAAAAGAGAAAAAATGTGTAATAACTGACATGCCTATAAGAGAAATAATTTGCCTTATTTAATAGTCACACATGGGTATCTTTTTATAAACAAAGACATAAAATACCAGTTCACTTAACAAAACTGCATAACTCAATGGATGTAAAAACTAAGCAAAGAATGGTGTTGTATTGTCATACAGTACTATAATAGTGGTCAGCAGCTTCAAATGCACTGGCCAAATTGAAATCGGCGAGCTTGATTAAATGGGTAGAGTAATCAATGAGTAGATTCTGCGGTTTCAAATCTCTGTGGAGAATCCCTTGAGCATGGCAATATGCTACAGCAGTGATTATCTGATACAAAAAGTACTGCTAGGACAAGGGAAACAAAATTAATTTGAGTTGAGAAATCTTAATTACGTTATAGCACTTCAGACTGCCACAGTCTGCCCCTGTTGCCGAGCTAATTATGTTCCAAAACATGATCTATGAGGAATATATAAATGTTTGTGTGTGTGTGTCTATATATATATATATAGGTATGAACGTGGCAAAAATGCCTCCTTGGGGGGGGGGGAGAGCAGAAAAGCAGAAGGATATTTTATTTAAGTATGGCTTTGTTACAGAAATGAACATCTCCAGATAACGGACTTGCTAACTTGTTCGGCGGGGTACACAACAGAAATGTTGACTTACATTTCTTTGCAGTGGATTCTTCTGGTCATTTGGTAGATTAATGAAATATCGCAGATCAGACTGAAAATACTCGTAAACAAGATAAACACATTGCTCCCTGCTGAAAGTATCCAGCAACCTGATACAAACATCATATATTGTTTAATCAAATATTTTGGTTATCATTAAAAATGATTTAGGCTACAATACACTTCGCGTCTGAATGAAAGCCAATATTTATGCGATTTTTAGTCTGACTTGAACTCCTCATTCAAATCAAATGAAACTGCATATGACCCTCCAATTAGATCAGTGACATATTATACATTGAGATTGAAAATATTCATAAAGCAATAGTCAGCAATGTTTCATAATCCCTTCTTTTACCTTAAAATTAACTTACCTAAAAAGCTTTCTTCAATAACCAACAACTTATCTAAAACATGAGTGACCTTCTTCACGTTCACGTGATTGGTTATTATCTTCAAATCGTAACTTCAAATACTGAGAGTAAAGACTCTAGAAACCATTAGCAAAAATAATCAACCGAGCAACAGAGGATCAACCTGACACAGTTTTCATGTCGCAATTGTTGAAGAGAAGAGATTTTTCTATCTAACAAGACCCGAGCGTTTTCCACAGTAAGGACAATCTCCTTGATGGCCACGATACGTTCGGGGTCACGTTTCAAGCAACGATAAACCTTGTTAAACGCACCGTCTCCAATCTGACCAAGAACCTTGTAGTTGAATTCCTCTAGATCGAGGTCCGGCTTTCTCTTCCAAGGATTCCAAAATCTGCATTCCAGAAAGCGAATCAACCTGCACGCACGCAAAATACAAATACCAGCAAATTCAAATTACAAAGATAACTTAAAGAAGAAAAAAAAATTATACGATCGGCAATAACTAAGACTGAAAGAACTGTTTACAAAAACCATTTCCAGTTCAAAACGAATCTCCCGTTCAAAATTAAGCATATGATTTCTCAGAAAGGAGGCATAATATATAATTCACTGCAAAACACGGTTCGAATGCAACAGCACTGAGAATAGGACAAGTGGATAACATATAAGATTCATCAGTAAATTAATACACACATTTAAAAAAAAAAATCAAAACCTCCATCCAATTTGCAAATACAAAAGCAATTCAGAATTAAAGATACTCACAAAGACATGAATACTGAGGAATTTTGACTGGAATTACTCATCGTGAGAAGAGAGTGCAGAGACGATGTAGATTTCTGCCTTGTTGAAGAGAGCAAGATAGCATAGCACTGGAAGGGAACTAATGAGGGTGAAATGATGGGATTTGAGATCAACTCGGAAGGAGTTGTTATTGTTGAAACTGAAAGCTAATCAAACAGAAGTTCCCGCCAAAAACAAGAATAACAACAGAATCCCCAATTACGGGTAGCAATCGCTTCGTCTACGTGACCCAAATTGGAGTACATTATTATTAAAGTGCAACAAACTACAGAAGGAATGGATAAAAATGCAATAAAAATAATTATTTAATCTTTAATTAAAATAAAACAGTATAAAAACGTATTATATAATAATTATTGGGGAATGAATATTAAAAACAAATGCAAAATAAAGAAGAAAAAAGTTTGTTAGATTGAATGGGCCACGTTTTAAATCGCAGATTTTTTTTTTTTTGAGTAAACAAAAGAGGCTCGAAGCCTAGAAGAAAAAAAAAATTATGTATATATCTCATGGAGTATATTCATTTGTAGGTAAATCTTGTAAAATTTAAAAATTACAGTCAAATTTTTTAAAATTTGAGTATAATTTGAAATTAGAGTGCACAGACAATATTGCCCTTACTTGTAATGCATGATCATTATTAGTTTAACCATTAGATATATGAAATTACAGTTATGAAAGGTTAAAATAATAGTTGTAAATTTCTAATAAATTAGTTATAAATAATTATTATTAAATTTTATTAATAATACATAATTAGTTTAACTATTAGATATATGAAGTTATAGTTGTAAAATATTAAAGTGATTATTATAAATTACTGATAAGATAATTATAAATAATTAGTATTAATTAAACTTTGTTAGTAACGTATGATTAGTTTAACTATTGCATATGTGAAGTTATAATTGTAAAAAGTTGAAGTAATAATTATAAATTATTAATAAAGTATTTATAAATTACTTGATGATGTAATATATTTTAAACTTATTTATAAATAAATCTGTTCTACAGAAAATAAATAAAAATCAAGTAAATTTTTTTTTGTAAAAAATGAATGGACATCACCAAATTAAAGTCCCCATGAAACCGAAGTCGGAAGTGGAGGAGTTCATCGAAGCTGCATGAAGATTGTCTTAGGGGAAATGCTTGGTTCTTTGACATCAACTACGATGAGTTGTATCTTTTGATGTTTATTTTGTGATCATGTCATCAGAAATTTGTTAGGATGTCAAGTGTGATTTAATTTGGTTTGACATGAAAAAAAGTCCTATATTAGAAAGAATTGAGCTGGAAAAGTAGTATATAATTGAAAAAGACTTATACAATCAATGCCTTATGCCTGTTTGGTACATTGGAATTGGAACCAGAGAAGTGAAACTCTAAAATTTGCTTGTTTGGTACACATGAACTCAGCTCTCAGAGAACCCACTTTCACCACAAATGATGGAACTCACTTCTATCGTAACCCCTTAAGAACTCAGGCCATGTTTGGTATGATGGAAGAGTTTTTAATGGAATCGGAATCGGAATTGGAATAGAATTAGATTTAAAAGTGTGTTTGGTATGATGATGAAATCCTGATATAATTTTAATAAAATATAAGTACTTAAAATAAGAAAAGACTAAAGTGTCCTTTTTAAAATTAAAAAAAATTATATTGGAGGAGAGAGTAGGGGCAAACTGGAGAAAGGGAACCATGGAATTGGATTCCATGATGCATGTGATGGAATTGGATTCTACCAAATTTTCTTGAATCTTGATTCCAAAGAATCATAATTATTGCATACCAAACGCACATGTTAACAGATTCCATGTCCAATTTCATTTCTTTCTTCATGATTCCAAGCTACCAAACGGGGCCTCAGTTCCATCGTCTTGCTTCCAACTTTACCCTTTAAAGCCTCCTTCCATGACCCACCCTCCTTTGTCTCGACTTTAGCGTTAGATCACATCCTTCTCCGATGGTTCCCACCTACGACGAAAATTGAGAGGGAGATGACACTGACAGCGATAAGCTTCGGTGAAGACAAATGGACCCGAAGGTAGAGGTAGTAAGTTCCTACTCTTGCCGAAGTGAGCTACTTCAACTATGGGGAGAGGGCTGCAATATCTGTTCTGTCACTTGGTGGCAAGGGTTCATCCCTCTCTTCCTCTTGCCAGTGGCCATGCGAGGTGGTTTAAAGACAAGACACTGACAAGTTTTTCGTTACGAAGATCTTATCCCACCGCCAATGTTCATGAATTTTGATCCAAGAAATTGGACCCTTCATTTATACGATCCCTTGTAGAGATCTTATTCCATTACCTTCCTCATCTCTAATGCCCCTTGCCATTCGTGCTTTTCTTCTTGAACTCATTCTTGGAATCTTGGTGCTAAGGAGTTGTTGATAGAGATCCAAGCCCATGCTTCGATGTTTTTTTTTTAAATTTTATGGGTATTATAGTTTTTTCAAATATAAATATGTTTATTAAATAAAATTTTTATCCACTTTCATCTGCATACTAAATATATTTTTTTATCCCATTTCCTCTCCTACTTTCACCTTTATTTTCACTTTCACTTTTATCAAAAGTTCTTTCTTACTACCAAATGAGTCATTAATATTTTGAATTAAGATATGATGTCATACTTACTTATATATGTCCTTCATTAATATATGATGTCATACTTAGCTTTATTCTCCTTCTTCTCGGTATGATCTTGGTATGCTTCAATATGAGGTTTCAAACCCATGCTCTGGTAAAAAAATATAGTATGAAGATGATAGAAAAAGCCATAAAAGTCGACAAATAATGTTATTGGTTTTGACCTTTTGTAATAGGTTGGCATCTTTAATGCATGGGTGAATAGAAGGGGGCATGTTTGTGTTGACTCAATTTGGGAAAAATGTTCCATCATATTGAATAGAGTTGGGTTGGAGAAAATATATATAAATATATATAAAAAATACCTATAAATTAAATGCCTTAAGATTTTGTTAAGACGTGGTATTGGCAGCCAGCTGTTCACCCCTCATCCAAGATACTCTCCTGACCCAACAAAATTACGAAACGACACCGGTACTCACCTGACATTAGGGGTGCACATGGGCAGGGCAGGGCTGGGTAGGAGCCTGCCTGATGCCCAGCCCAAAGAATGAATGGGCTGCAAAATGCAGCCCGAAGTCCAGCCCAGCCCAGCCCATAAAATGCCCTATTAGTTTGGGCTGAGCAGGGTTGGTTGGGCAGCTTTGCCCAGCCCATTAAATAATCATCGTGCCCATTAAATCACAACTCTTTTTATCATTTTAAGATAAAACTTTCACAAATCAACAATAGTCCTATGTATCAACTCAAAATAGCATCTATAAAGTCAAAAACCATAAATCCACAATAACAGTAACAGTCACAATATCAAATTATCCATAATTGAATCCAAAATAACAGCTATGATCATTGAAAACAACAAAATTCATAAAAACTTAGAGCATCATATGAGAAACAACAATTTGAAAGAGTAGACTCCAATTCACAAAAGACTTCTTCCCAACTCTCAACCTGCATGAATGGAAGAGGAAAAATATGTCATAACTAAACATATTAAAATCCTTATTCAAGGCAAATGCATGGTGAATCTTGAATGGAGTAAAAGGAAACTCACATGCAAGCCAATATTTGCTCTGGAATGCATCAGATTTGCCCTCTTCTAGATAAAAGTAGTCAAAAGAAATGGAATCTATAGTAGCCGAAGCATAACTTTAATAAATAGCAAAGCAGAATAAAGGGGACTAGTAGGGGGCATGCATGCATAAGGGACCTATCACTAGTGTTCACTTCATCCAACTTAACCAAATCTATAAACTTATTTAATTTTTCAAAGAGTTAATAAAGGGTCAAGATATACCTGTAAAGAAACATTTCAATCAATACTAGCAGCCGCATTCTCCCTTCCAAGTATTGCATCTGAAGACAAAAAAAATTACATTAATATAAAAACTAAAATAAAGGGTGTATGTGTGCATGTGTAAACTTTAGAAAAAAAAATATGTTACTTGTAAGCTGAATAATATTTTCTGTCTCATTAAAGTTATCAAACTCATGGAGCTTATCAACCAACTCAGAGAGAGATTGCCACTTTGCAGCCAATTTTGCCTACAAATCAATGCTTCTGTCATTTTAGGAGATAAAGAGCTCCTATATTGATCAACTACACGTCCACCAATACTAAATGCAGACTCAGAAGCCACTGTAGAAATTGGCATAGCCAATACATCTCGTGCCATGTGGGAGAAATTTTATATTTTTCAGAATTGGCTTTCCACCATGATAGTATGTCAAACACAGAATCAGATGATGAGATTTCAGCTCTAGAATCTGTTGCAAGATATCTATCTAGCTCACTTTATGGATCCATTGAAGTTCTTTGCTTCAAAGACTCTAACCACATTGCCCCTGGATCCTCAATGTCGTCATCATCATCATCATTAAGAGAGGGCAATGATCTTGTAGATGCATTATTTGTATGGGTAGGCCCTAATTCAGTAGAAACCCTAACAAAATACTCGTCAAACAGTCGATACAAACAAGTTTTGACCTTCTCCATCATCAATGCACATTCCTCAGGGTTACTGAAAAGGAGTTCAAACATGTGATTTACATAAACTAATTTGTATCGAGGATCCAAGATCACAACCACAATCAACAATGGATTCATATTATCTGCATGACCCTAATACTTATCAAACTTTAGATGCATCTTAAAGCTCATATCTCCCAAAAAAGTATTACCATTGTTTCCAATATGCTTTTGCAACATTTGCTGAACACGAGCAATTTGGTGGAAACAATCATTTGATGTTACAATAAGGGAGTTTGAAAATTTCAAAGTTATGTCATAAAAGACCTTCAAGAATTTGATGAAGACTTTAGCATTTTTCCAATCATCAAGAATAGGGCCAGAGAAAATACTTCTCTCTTGCCTAGAGCTAAAGAATGCAATATAGTCATCATCTTCATCACGCATCCTCTCAAACACCTTATGAAACTTCATTGCAGCTTCCAAAATCAAATATGTTGAATTTCATCGAGTGCTAACATCAAGGTAGACAAGGCTCTTGGTTTCTATTTTTTCAAATTCAACCCAATTTTTAAATTTTAGAAACTGTAAAGGAGAAGACCAAACATATCTCACAGCACTTCGAATGGCTTCAAAACTATCTTTCATGTGTTTGATGCCTTCGTTGACCACCAAATTAAGAACATGTGTATAACATCTTAATTGTAGATAGTCTCCTCCACAAATCAAGCCCTTCCAACTTCTCAACCTCCTTTTAAGATATCCCAAAGCCGTGTCATTAGATGAAGCATTATCCATAGTTATGCTAAACACCTTATCAATACCCCAATCCAACAAGCATTGCTCAATGGTCTTCCCTATAGTCTCACCTTTATGATTTTCAATCATAACAAAACTTAGGATCCTCTTACGAAGCTTCCATTCATTATCAATAAAATGTGCCGTCAAATACAAATAATTGAAATTTTGGTTTGACGTCCAACAATCTGTCATGAGACAAACACGCTTAGAACATTGCTTCAAGATCTTCTTTAGCACTTTTACTTCACCAAGATATAGCTGCCACACATCTCTTACAATTGTTGTTCTTGAAGGGATTGGAAAGTGAGGTTCAAACTCATTCAACAACTTCTTAAATGCAGGCTTCTCAACAATTCTGAACGAATCACAAATGATAAATTTAGCAAGAGCTCTTCTACACCTCTTCTCATCATATAAGTGAGTGACTAAAGATTTTCCTTGCCCACTTATCCTACCTGATAACAGATTTATCATTCCTTATTTCTTATCTTTGGTGGCCTTGTGAGGGTTCTTTGGACACTTTGGGATGTGCCTCAACAAAGAATGTGTCCCATGGCGTGATGGATCAGAAGCATAAGTCGTGTGGCAAAACTTGCATGCTGCTCTATGCTCCCCATTAGTTTCTTCTATAGGCAACCTAATAAAGTAATCCCACACCTCCGATGTATGTTTAGGTTCCTTTTCTTTCCTTTTTCGATCCCTTCTCTCAGTATTTGTTACTTGTGTGACATGTTCTGTGGGAGTTTGGGTGGGAGGAGCACGAGGGGGAAGAGAAGGAGGTGCAGGTGGAGGGACAGATTAAGGGGGAGGGGGAGGCAGAGGGGGAGGGGCTGCTGTTTGTGTAGGATGAGTATGGGTTGGGGTTTGTGTAGGTCCGGTAGGGGTTGGTGAATGGGAAGGTCCAGTAAGGGTTGGTGTTTGAGATGTTTTAAAAGGTGATGTAACTGAAGCTTGATCCTCCATGCTAGCATAACAAAATTACAGAACCACAAATTTCATAAAAATACAAAATCAAGCTTGTTATTCAATGATATAAAAATCACAAAGAAATACACATAATAGAGATGCAAAACAGTCATGTAAAAGCAATGATTATAGATTAGGAAATAAGAAATTGCCATTTTCAACAACTTTCTTCTTATACAGTAATTGGATAAAATTCATTTATCAAATCAATAGCAAATCAGATAAAGTGTGTGTAATGTATTATATATGTAACATTAATACATTATAATATAATTTATAACAATAAAGCCAGAACTCAACTCATAATTGCCCTCACAATCTCATATCATTATTTTCATCAACAAAGCTTTTTTTTTTTTCAGACAGAAACGAATCAAATCAAAGACTAATATGGAAAAATCATGCAGGCTTGGAAGATACCAGACTCGACTTTGTACAGAGACATTGAGCATTATCCAAGTTCTACCTTAATCCCAAGTGTTCTCATTATTCAACTGGGTTCTCCTATCTATTTTGCAAACTCTTCCTACATCAAACACAGGCACGTAATATTTCTTCTCTCTCTCTCTCTATATATATATCATGACGATCCAAGTAATTGACCCTTTTTTATGAATTTAAAAACTATGAAATAGGATCATGAGGCATATTCAATACGAGGCGAGTTCTAGTACTGGGGAAACTATAGAGCATATCATCCTCAATTTATCAGGTTCGTATGTCATTATGTTTCCAGTAAAGTACTTTTCTAGGTACATATATATTTTGTAACTGCTATTGAAGGATTATTGCACTAAAAAAATGAAGAAGAGCAAATTGAAAACCTGGGTACTGGGTAGACGTGAACTGAATAAGATTTAAGAGTGGAGACTAGAGACAGAGATGAGTGAACAACAAAATAGGTGAACAGGACAGATAAAGTCGAAGAACATGCAATCTATCAACACGCGCAGCTGGAGTTGACGAACGCTGAACGGACGATATCGTGCCAGACTGCCAGTGGAGACTGATGGCGAACGGTCGAAGAGAGTGACTATGAGAAATACTCGAACAGGGAGAGGGGAGAGAGGAGAATGACGGCAACCATAAAGATTGTGTGAGGGCCGAGGGGAGAACGACGGCAGGCAAAGGTGTGGCAGTGTGAGGGGAGAACGACACGACGAGAGACGAGATTAGAGAATGAAGGTTGAAGATTGATCTGTGTGGCAGTGTTGGTCTGTGCTTCTGCCTTGTGGGACGCTGATCCAGTGATGCTATTGCTGATTGCTGAGCCTGAGACGCCGCCGGGACTCTAGAGTTTGGACTCTGGAGTGGAGAGTGGAGAGACGGCTAGGGTTAGAGATTAGAGAATAAGAGGTAGGAGGGACGCTATCGCTGACTCTGAATCTGCACTGCAATGCTGATTGTTGAGTTGTTGATGCTTTGCTTGGTCAATTGGTCCGGCTGAAAATTGAAATGCTGGAGTTGGGCTGTGGACGCTGGGCACTGGGCAGATGGACTCAAGCAGACAGCAGATCCACAATTTGGATTCAAAAAAAAATATATGAGCACACTTCGGGCTGGGCCAAACGGGCAGATCAGCATACCTTGCCCGTTGCCTAGCCCTGCCCGAATATCAGCCCAGCCCAAAAATGCCCAAATCATGTTGGGCTATTTTTTTTGGGCCGGGCAGGGCAAAATTTTATCAGGTTTGGGCGGGCGTGTCGAGCAACCGGGCTCCATGAACACCCCTTACCTGACATTTATATTTTTCTTAGATAATTTATGTTGTTTAAATTATTCATTATATTGTCTTGTAGATTTAGACACGCTCTCTACATCTCAAACCGAACGAGAGCCTTCTCCGATAGGGTCCAATATCGGTTTCCATGGATAAAATCTATGACCATAAGGGCTGCTTCTTCATCCTCTTCTTTTTGCCACAAGCCAACGCGGAGCATACGGAGCGTCAGATATTTGAAATATGCGTATACGAAATAGCAAACCAGGAACTGGTAAGAACTTTGCAGTAAAAACCCTGAAATATGAGTAAATGAAATAGAAAACCAGGAACTGGTGATTAAGAACTTTGCAGTAAAAGCCCTGAAATATGTGTAAATGAAATAGAAAACCAGGAACTGGTGATTAAGAACTTTGCAGTATTCAAAGCAATCCTTAAAAACCCGATTTCACAGAGTCTCGAAGGCACTACTGCACAGACACTTTTTGTTCAGCGTAGTATGACCATGGATGAAGAACAGTGTTGCGGAGCAGAGAGAAAGCCAATTGAAATTATTTAAACAATACAAATTTTATAAGAAAAAATAAATGCCAAGTAAGTGCCAACTTAGATTAAAATTTTGTATAGTGTCTGAGTCCACCACATTGATTATCTAAAAGAATATAATGGGCTTTCCGTTATGCAATATATTTTAGCCTTCTCTATCTCCTAAAGTGAAAAAAATATATATATTAATCCACATGTCAATTAAAATTTCAAACATTCAAGTGACGTGTCATGTAGTGTTTTGAATTTATAGATATATTTAAATCAATATATACGTTTTCTAATTATAAATAAAAATTTTAGTTATCCTTTTTTATTCTACATCAACTATAGCATATCCTAAAAATATACATAACTATTCGATGCGAAATTTTTTGGGTCAAGATTGGATGTGAATTTAATTGACGCAGTAGGGGCAGCTAAATAAATTTATTTTTATTGGTTATTAAATTTCAATTTTTCATGAGATTTAACCAGACTTTAATCAACCTCTATATAATTTTTTGAATATGTTTCAACTCTATTTCAACTGTAAAATAAAAAAAATAAAAACTACGGAAATTATTAAGTTCGTTATTTTCCACATCAATTAGAAGATGCATTTTTTACCCTTAAAACCTAAAGTTCAGCTTCTAAATAACCATAAACAATTCAAAGTTTAATGAAAGAAAAGAAAAGGAAAGAAAACAAATACCATAAGCAATTAGAATAAGAATGAATATATAGTACTAAATTTTGAACCATATATGTCAAAATGTATTTGTTCTTGCACAGTAGTAGAAAAAGACGACACTTGAAGTGTGTGTTTGGTTTTCAGTTTATTAAAAATTTATTTGGTAAAGATTCATTTGGCAAAAATCAATTTAGTGAAAAGTCAATTGTTATAATAAAATTTATATTTGAATATATTTTTTTAAAATTCAATTTGATACAGTAACAGTTATTTGAATTGTGATAGTGAAATGTATTTTTGAATGTACAATTATTAAAAAGAACATTAATTTATGATGATTTATAATTTTTATTATATAAATATAATATATTTAAAATATTTAAAAAATGTGATAAAGATTTTAAATAACATAAAATTTGATTTATAATGCTAAAAACTTAACCTCTAATTATTTGTAATTTTTTAATTTGTAACTTTAAAAGATGTGATAAAGATTTATAATTTTTATTATACATTAATTTAAAAATTAACATAATTAATTATTCAATTAATAATGTTAAAAACTTGATACCTAATTATTATTATTGAAATGATAATTATATTTTTAATGAATTAACTATTTTTTAAATAAAAGAATAAGAGATTAAACTTGAAATAATATGATAACATAATATTATAATTTTAAATTTATTTTTTAAAAAGCTCCATTATTTGAAGTTGACCAAAAGCACATTCAGCAACATTTAAAAAGAATTTTCTAAATAGACTTTTTAAAAAAAATTAAAAATTAAACAACATTTGACTTTTGAAAAGTAAAAAAAATACTTTCTGAATGTTAAAAGTTACAAAACGAAACAGGCCCTAAGTATTCCTTCTTCACATCAAGATTAATATGCGGATCTTTTAGGTGGCTGCTGGCTATGACTTCCCATCGCTTCTGCTGTATTTAAAATCCTGCTCGGTGGGCTCCTTTGGATAACAGTATTTGTGGAGCGTCCACAAATAATAAACATGAATTAGCTCAAGCTAATAATAGTAATAGTAACTTTAATAGAAATAAAAAGGATTATTAACATACCTTCCTCTCTGATTGAAATCTTTGAAGTAATCATGTTGAAGAGCATTAGCAGCTGAAATTCTTTTGCGCGGATCCAGGCAAAGCATTTTCTGTCATGCACAATAAAAGCACAGAAGATTACAAGATGTATAATAGTTTTCTTGCCCGCCTCAAGCACTTTCCTTCCACGTCACACTTCCTCGTTCTTATTAAATGCGAATAATTAATTTAGATATAAGAAGGAATTGAACTAATATTAATATGAACGAAGGGGAAAAATGAACTTACGGAAAGAAGATCAATGCCTTCTCGTTCAAAACCAAAGAACTTCATTGCCAGGTTCTACAAGACGAGAGATGCAAGGTTAAATAAAACCTAGTAGCTTTCGAGGGATCCGCAACACGACATCTAGTGAGCAAGCAAATCATACTTTGATAATCATACCATTATTCGTTCAAATTTGGGAAAGCATAAGAGTGTTCTGCGACTGCATATCTCAGTCACTCTAGGCCAGGATTCCTCAGTTCGGGTACCTAACAGGCTTCATACATTGAAATTCCATTGTTATTTTGATTAGCATTATTGAAGCAGATATATTTGGCTCATAAACAATAATAATACATGTGTTTTTCTAGTATATATAATGAAGTTACCGAAAAATTGACTTCAATTGGTCCATTTGAGTTTTTCCCTGGAATACAGGTTTCCCAGTTATCATCTCTCCAAATATACAACCAACAGACCACATATCAGCTGCCTTTGAATATCGACGTGATCTAAAGGAGCACTATACTGAGAAGTTTTTATCTGTCAAGTCAAGAGGACATTATACTGATTAAAGAGAGTATAATGATAGAGATACAGGATACTATACATAAGGTACCGTAAAATGTTCAAACCATTATTTTAGGCATCATGTCATGCTTATATGCCCCAGACGTGAATCATGTATAATTCCATTTTGAAGTATTGTCTCCTGATTTTAGTTGCTAGCTTTTTCTTTCAAACCGATTGCAGAGACCATGGCAGTTTTATAAATTAAAGATAACTGTAAGCTCCAATGAAAAACCGCGCCCTTAATAAGCAAAAATACAAAGAACGTCGTGTCAGTCTCGACTTTTCTTAAAGTGTTCACTAGAAAATTAAGGAGCTATATTATCATACAGGATAAGTTGTCCAAGGATCTCCAAATGAACCGGCGAAACCGATGTCGGCTAGCTTGATCTCCATATTGAACGTCATTTGCAGGTATTTTGGTTTTATATCTCCGATCACAATCTCACTGTTACATCCTAAAAATAGAGGGTGATCGGTACGGGATATGAACTGTGCCACACATTCCCGTAAGTCTCAAAACGTAAATTAATTTCATTTCTAAAATATAATCAGATCTATCTTGATACTAATAATTATAACAAAGCTTTAACATTTTGTAGAAATTTTAACAAAACCTTTCCTGTAAGTACAAGCTCTCAAAAATTCTACAATACAAAATTTCCACAAAAATCTTATATCAATTGGGAACTCAACTCCTCCCAGCTGGCAAGCAACATACATGTGTGTGTGTGTATTAAATAGAAACCCTAGTTATAGTCATGGAGCACCTGGCCATATTTTTCAGAATGAATTATACATAAATTATCATTACATCAAAAGGAGAGACTTCCATCAACTCTCCACTCAACATGCTTAAAAATTCTCAAGATCAGTATAAGGATCAGCTTCAGCTAAGGTATCTGAGACCAAAAATATTTTTCAATGAATAAAAGGAAAGTTTGAAATAATTATGTAAGTCAAATAGACAACAATTTTCATAAAAATTTAATAAAATTTAAAATAAAATGATTCTATAAAATTTAAAAAAATCTTAAACCATTGAATTATCATAACAAATATTTTTATCACTTGATTTTTAGAAAGCAAATAAATGAAATAAATGGTTGTAAATAATTTATTAGATAAAAACTAATGGAATATAAAATCACCAAATAATTAAATTCACAAATTTTTTAAGGACTTATTAGAACAATAAACAAACACGGACACACAGTCCACAAGGATAAATAATCGAACGTGACTTATTGCCACGAATACAAATGTGAGCACATAGTCTATGAGGGAGGGTAAGTAATCAAATGCAGCTGAAGCCACAAAACAAGTGTGGACACACAGTCCACGAGGGTCATGTTGATCAAACGCGGCTTGGAGCCATGAAACAAACGTGAGTGCTAAGCTCACAAATAACCATCCCTCCGTTCCACGTGCGTTGGCCATCACACGGGGCTAGCACCTCCTATGAACATCCTGCTAGCTAGATGTACCATGGTGTGCCAAGGGCTAACGGAACTGTCGTTAACAACCAGTATTTCGTATAAAGTCTCTTTTTTAAAATTATTTTCAAACATGCGAGAAAATCATCACTTTCAAGATACATTTCTCATTCTCAAAATCAAACTCACATGAATACTTTTAAGCATTAAAACTTGTCAGAATAAAATTCATATCCAATGCTCATGCTTGTATTTATCAAATAATCAAAAAAATTTCGAAGTCGAACTCGCAAGAATCATTCTCTGTATCAATCCAATATTTGATAAAATAAAAATCTCATAATTAAAGTCCAAACTTGATTTAATTGATCAAATAACATTTCAAATTTGGTAAAGCTAATTTCTCAAAATAAAGCAATTTTAATCAACAAATATCCAATAATCGCATTAATGCTATTAAAATGATTTCAAAAAAAAATGCAATATTTTAATAAAGGAAATTTTAATTGAAAAAAATCAGTTGGGACGCTATCCACTTACCTGAATGTTTTCCAAGAATTCTAAAACTTGCTTCCTTTAAGTTTTGATCTCTATTCTAATAAAGCTCTTAATGTCCTGACAAATGAGTCAAAATTCTAAAATCATTCATCAAATAATCTTACAAGCACTTAATGGGTATCAACATTCAATCTATTTGATACTAACAACACTATAACCAATTACATTTCAAGTACACTTGAGTTAGTCAAATTATTTGACAACTCTCAATTTATCCCTGTACTCCCTTATGACCCTAGTCAATCATAATTCACTATAAATTATATCAATCATTCTTAAACTTTCTCTAAACTAAAAAAAGAAATAAACAAGCATCCTATATCATCATTTTTCCTTACTTTAATTAATAACTTAAACTAAAACTTACATTTACTCCTTTAATTAAGTTATAATATAAAAGACTAACAAACTATAATTCACCAAATTCTTCTCTTGTACCTTTTTACAATTACTTTTTACAATTACTTTGAAGGCATGCATTTATTATTGACAAAATTATGAAATAAATAATCAAGAAATTTCAACAACTTCTAATCTTCAATTTATTTTTATTTTATTATTAATTATCTTTCAAACTCAACATAATTGAAAGATTTCTAGCCCTTAACCAAAAGCAACACTTCAATCCTAGTTGAAGGTAAAACACCAAGAAGAAGGAACCGGACCACATCAAGCAGTTAGGGAAAGGAAGGGATTGTTTCATGGCTGTTGTTGCACTCGAAGAGGGAGAAGAGAGGATTAATGATTTGCCTTAGCCTGAGGTGTAGTGATGACAACTTAGAACCATCATGTATTCAATGCTAAAAAGGAAAAGAGAAAAACGAAATGCTCTGTTTTGCAGCTCGGATGATAAGGAAGAAGACCAGCTATCGTGGCCAAGAAAGCAAAGGATTTGAGCTTACATATACATACGCAAGACACTCAGTACTTGAGAAACAATAATAGGTGAAGCTAAACACGCACACGCACATACACACGGAAGCCAACCTGAACAGAAGCAATAATGGCAGCAAAGAAGGAACAAAGAAGAGCTTCAGGTTTCGACACGCACGAGAAGGAAGGAGACCAAAATCCAACCGGAAAACAACATCCTCGATCTACCATACACACACGCGCACACGAACTTTTTAACAGCTAAGGAAGAAGGAAAAAAACAGAATTGAGCATGCAAACACACACTTTCATCCCAATAAACAGAGCAGAAATGGGGAAGAGATTGTCAGCTACTTCACACGACGGAGATGAACAAATCATTGAGAGCACATAATGAACGAATAGCCGATGATAGGGAAAGAGAAGCAGCAGCTCGGCTTCACTGTGGCGAGAAAACAAGAGCGACGAGAACGACCGCAGATAAGCAACAGTAGCAACGTGAATTCACCGCTGACAGCGAGCAAAGAATGTGTGTAAGGTTCAGAGAGATGAACCGACTATATGAGGATCTAGAGAGGTGTATGATGGCGGTGAGAAAAAAAATCGAGATGCTTTGTTTTTTTTTTTTTTTTGGTGTAAAAAAACTGATTCAGACCAAAAGAAGCAATGAAAAAAATTACAAAAAGAGCACCAAAAAAATACAATAAGAGGCACAAAAAAAATTTACAAAAAAGAGCACAAGATTTTCCTATAATTTTAAAACTAAACTTTTACTCAGAAAAATTTAAGCTTTAGATTCTCAGAAAAATTTTTATCATGAGTTCCTCTAAACTACCAATTCTACTTATTATAAAATTTATTTAAATAATATATTTATTGAAAGAATTTTCTTTAATTTAAAATTGAGGGTCGTTACATTTACATGTATGATAATGTGCTACAGCAGAGAGTACTTGATACAAAATCCGCTGCTCAATCAATCACCAAACACGATCAGTATGTACAAAGATATTTATATCTGATGTAGAAGTATGTTATAGAAAAAGAGGCAAGACGGACTTTGTACACGTAGCTCATTCGAACAGAGTTCACATGCTCTCTGAACAGCTTTACACGGATTGCGAGTTTTCTGCAGAAGTTTCTTCGACGGGCTACAGTCTAACGATGTGTTTTTTTTGGGATCGTCTGTGTATATTTTGTTATGTCTTAATGTCATGTTCTCTGTACGGTATCGAATCTCTTCGTCATGTTTTCTCATCTACCTTCTGTGTTCTTAATAAAATTTTCCTTTTCCATCAAAAAATAATTTTTACATAAAAGTTACAACTTAAAAATTTTAAATCGAAATAAAATTAATTTTAAATGCCTCAAATCTGGTCATTAAAACCCATCCAACTTTAAATGTACTACTACCAATTTTACACATGCTTTTTTTTTTTTTTCAAAATGAAAATGAAAACAAACAACGGCAGAAGATTCTATTAAATTATGACTAACTTCTTGCCATGAGAGAATATTTCCAAATAATGATTTTATCTACAAAGTCACAGAAAGATCTCTGTTTTTCTTTTTAAGCAGACATATCAGAAAAATTAACTTACTCTTGTCAGTGGAACTCTAACATGCTTTGGTTGCTCGATGATATAGGACAGTGGGAAAACACTCGTAAACAATATACAAGCAATTCCCCATGGTGATTGCATACGGCATCCTGATACAAAAAACAACTTGCATTAATTCATCAAAGCTTGCTGATAGTTAAAAAAGCTAACACACAGATTATCAAGGTAACCGAGAGATATACATAACGCCATTTTCACTCAGACTCAACTTTACATTCAAACGTTGATAGATTGAAATTGAAATACCCATAAAGAAATATCAAGACTGAATCTAAGACCAACCTAGCAACGTTTCGATGGTGTAGCAACCGATGAAAAGCAATTTTTCCACGTATCGATTGCCGAAATTCTTCATTATCCCCAGTAATGACAATCTGCTTGATGGCTACCAATATTTGTTCGTTATCACGTCGATAGCAACGATAAACCTTGTTGAACGCACAATCTCTGACCTCACCAATAATCTTGTAGTCCTCTAATTTGGGCGGCGGCGGTTCATAGCACCAAGGGTACCAAATTCCGCATCTGATCAACCTGTGTTGTGTGTAAAATTAACATCAGCAGATTCATATTACGTTAAAGATAATTAGAACAGTTAAAAATATATACTGTCCGAAATCAGTATAAGATTGAGAGTACAGTTTATAAAATCCAAATGCAGATTTAATTTCCACTGAGTGGAATCTAAACAGTTCTAGTTTTACACGGTTCAAAGGCATGAACAGAGAACAAGACAATTCGATAGCAGTGATCGACCGGAATACCGGAATGTGAGCATATTCGTCAACAAGATTTATCAGAAATTCTTACCCTAGACAACGATCTTAATCACAATCCCAAATTCCAAACTCAAAATAGTCAATCACTTCAGGCGTTTAGGATACTCACACACATTCGCAGAAATGTTTGAAATTTTGAA